TATATATATATATATGCATGTAAAGCTTGTTGTACAAGACCTTAGAATAGACATATATGAACAACGATTTCAAATTACTATATTTTGTTCTCTCTTTTTTCTAATGAAGGCGATTATTGGTTTGCAAATGACGTTTGGGGGAATCAAATGTTACTTTGAAATTATTGTTCATATAAGTCTATTCTAAGCACCTTTACAACAAGCCTAATTACCTGCAGATTTTTGTATACATTTTTCTTCGAAAATCTAGTGATTCGGCCCTATAGACATTAACTGTTATGTTTTCTGAATGGCGACACGTATCATTTTTCAAATGACTCTTTTAAAATAAAGAGGTACTATTGAACCGCAAAATTGCCAAGGCAATCTGCGAAAATTACATTAAGCCTAGTTAAGTTAAGTGATAGTTTGACCTTGAAGACAAAATGTAAGATGTTATCTATACCACCTTAAAGGTGCGGGTACTGGGAGTCAAGAGTGCTAAAAATGCCAAAAAACGGAAGCCAGGAAATTGAGGCACGTCTTCAGAGTTACACCAAGAACCCTTACTCTCTAGATCCGAGTTATTTACAGCTACGCAAAGGCTAGGGACACTTACCGACTGCAATTTCCGTGAAGGTTTGCCACAAGTGTTGTTGAATACTACTACTGTTGTTGAATACTGTCGCACGCTACGCTAGATCATCACGGTGACTTTCTGCAAGTTTTTGTGCGTTTATTTGACTCTGTTAGTTGTAAGGATGATTCCCCTTTGTTTCCCTGATCACGACTAAAAAAGGAGTTTCCAAAAGGTGAAATTGATAAGCTTCTTTCTTGGTCTTTTTTTTCAAATGAGTGATTTTTTTTTACTTTTGATACACAATTTAGTCTTCAATGTAATACAGGGCCACACATTTCTTTCTTTGCTTTTGCACCACACCACGTTATTTTCTGCTGCGTCCAAACTTCTATCAAAATCGTCAGCCACAAAAAAGGTTCAACAAAGATTGTTCTAAAGCGTAGCAATATGAAATATCTAATGCCATATAAAAGACGCGTTTTATAAGACCTATAACTCATACTACCGACCACTAGTAATGTAATAAGTATTTCACTGTATGATTTATTAAGGTTTGATATATAACATACGCTCGCCTTGTTCACGTCAAAATGGCTGGTAATTTTTGCCCAGCTCTGATATTTGACAAGACGGAAGTGAACATGATTGATGACTATAGGGTAGTGACAAATGCTTGTTGACGCGTGGGTGGGTACTAATGGGGCGGACGTGCTCTTGATGACGTAAATGGCGGGAAATTATTTGTGATCTTTTCCTGCCCTGTAACCACCCGGGAACAATCTAGTAGCTACATTTTCATGTCACTCGCTTAAAAAATATCATAATATTGAATTAAATATTATAGCAAACGGTAGAAACTTGTATTTGATCTTTCCTTAGCCCGCACCATTCCGAAACACTTGAGCATCATTTTGCAAGTCTCTTTCACTTTGCAAGAACTTTGAAGTCGCAAAACCCCCATAAACTGTTATGGAATAGTTGAAAGTGACGTTGGGAGTGTATTAAGCCTTAGCTACTATTATACAGGTTGTTGTATTGAATAGTAGAAAATCGTATTTGATTTTCCCTTAGCCCTCACCATTTGGAAACACTTAAGCAACATTTTTCAAGTCTCTGTGAAAAATATCATAGACTGTACAGCATTTCCTAAATGTTGTTAAAGCTTGATGTTGAATGATATTTGACTCCGTAGTCATGTATTCTAGTACACGGTACAACATCCTTGCCTAAATGTTGTTAGATCTTGATTTTACATGATGTTTGACTCCGTAGTCATGTATTCTTGTACACGGTACAACATCCTTTCCTAAAGGTTGAATCTTGATTTTGAATGATATTTGACTCCGTAGTCATGTATTCTAGTACACTGTACAACATCCTTTCCTAAATGTTGTTGAATCTTGATTTTAAATGATGTTTGACTCCGTAGTCATGTATTCTAGTACACGGTACAACATCCTTTCCTAACTGTTGTTATACCTTGATTTTGAATGATGTTTGACTCCGTAGTCATGTATTCTAGTGCACAATTTGTCGCACGACCTCCAGGTCGCCCAATTATGTGGGACGCATTTGTCATACACGAAATTGCACAGCTTGAAGGTAACCCTTGCCCTGGAAAGGCCGTAACATACTTTACCACAAACAGATCAATCCCATGTGTGTTTTTACGTGCCGTTTTTAATATCAAAGGCCGCAGGTCGGAAAAATACTGCATCTCCTTCTGTTAGAGATGTATGTCACAGACAATAAAACGTTTTTGCTTTGAACATACTAGTATATCAACGTAGTGCTACAGCAGTGCCTTTTGGTCAATGCTAATATGCTTGGTATTTTTAAAAGAATTTACTGAGCTATTTATGAGTTTCCGAATCAGAAGGTTGATTTTGTTCTGTATCAAAATCATAATGTTGTAACAGTTTGAATGTTCCCATTGAATGCCAAATTTGAAACGTATCAGATATTGACTTATTGCATGAATATAATTGAAGAAATAGTTTAGATTAACCATAAGTACAAAATATGAATAATAGGTCAATAGAGTAAACAAATACATGTAACACAAAAAGTCACGTACAAAAAGGGTATTGTAGAGGCAAAGGCAAGACAAGAAGAAGTAATAATGGTTTCTCTATTTATGCCCCTGTCCAGACGCCAATGAAGTTGTTTTTGAACACGGATGACCCCCCCCCCCCGTACACGGAAACCTGCTGTTGCCTTACCGACAATACTGTCCTGAAGCCACGTTATATAATACTTTTAGAGGCAAAGACAAGAAGAAGTAACCATCGTTTCTCTGTCTATTTCCCATGTTATGTCCAGACGCCAATGAAGTTGTTGAGAACACGGATGAGCCCCCGTCCACGGAGACCTGCTGTTGCCTTACCGACAATACTGTACTGAAGTAACGTTATATGATACTTGTAGAGGCAAAGACAAGAAGTAACCATCGTTTCTATTTCCCATGTTATGTCCAGACGCCAATGAAGTTGTTGAGAACACGGATGAACCCCCGTCCACGGAGACCTGCTGTTGCCTTACCGACACGAGGAGGAAAACCATCCTGGGCGGGATCGCCACACTGGGGATCGGCGGGTCGTGGGTCGCGTCAACCCAGTTGGCCCAGGCCACGTACCAGCCGTACTTCCACGCCCCCTACCTGGTGGTGTGGTTCTGCAGCGTGTGGATGGCGGCCACCTTTCCGCTCTACTTCGCCTCCGTGCGCACGTGCACGAGAGAGAACAAGCCGCTGGCGACTACCGTCAAGTGAGTCAACTTCATGCCTAATCTCTAAGACGATATGTACATTTGGTTCATTCTTATCCCGCAAGTTGAGGAGGTCAGTCAAAAACCATACCTCGACAAAAACGTAAACTTTTAGAAAGAGGTAAAAAGTATACATCTCAGTAAAGGTACTCATATGTTTACTTATTCATTGTCATTTAGTTCATATATACGGCTTTGATCCAACGGCTAACTAATATGACTTAAAGACTCAAATATTATTGCGTAGAGCATACTATTGACCAAAGACTCAAATATTATTTCATAGTGTATTCTGTTGACCTAAAGCTTAGATATTATTGCATGGTGTACGCTATTGACCTCCACCACATTACACCGTCTGACAAATACTACTCGATCACCCCCTACCATACTACTAACCCCTGTTGCTCCTACAGGGAGTGTGCTAAGGTGTTCGGTGAGCAGGGTCTGACCGTGAAGTCCTTCCTGGTGCGGGCGGCGCCGTTCTCCGTGCTGACCGTGGCGGCACACTACATGTTCGTGCTGGCCCTCAGCCTGCTGCCCGGCACGGACGTCTCCGCTCTGTACGTCTCCAACGTCTCCTTCGTGTACCTTCTGTCCTGGATACTGCTCAGGGAAAAGTTCGCTTCTGCCGGGGTGAGTACAGAGCTGGTGTGGTCAGGCAATAAAGAAAGACATTGACAACCTCAGAAAAACCTTTCAAACTTCATTTTCCCAGAAAAAAAAACACCTCACCATGAATATACACCCCTTCGTGTACCTTCTGTCCTGAATACTGCTTAGGGACAGGTTCGCTTCTGCCGGGGTGAGTAAGAATGTAGTCACGTGATTGTGACGTCATTGAGCGTCCGCCATGTTGGTGGATTAAAGACCTTTGCAAAGTCATTAGATAAGAAACTTTTAAACTTTATTCCCCCAAGAAAACTTCATTTTTTTCAGTTTGGAGCACCACGCTATATGAATCGTCGTGCCACCACTACATACATGTACCTTCAAGCATACGTTGATCTGGTGTTTTCTGCTCTCCAGAAAACTAAGTTTGGAGCATCAAACTATGATAGTATGAATACGACCTTTCGTACTGCCTTCACTACATGTACAGGAAATCCGATATTAAAGCATACCTTGAAGCATACGCTAAGGTCATTCGACTGTAAAAACCGGAACCTTTGTGTCTACTCTAAGGTATGCTTAAATGTCGGGTTTCATGCCGTACGTTATCCACTATGTTACGATGCACAGTATAGTGTATAGTTATGACCGCGTTTAAAATTCCAGCCCGTTCGCCTGACGTCTTCCCAACACAAGTCTATCAATCAACGCGTTTCACCCAATATCCTAGGAATAACCCGAACACGGCTACGGCGCCCTGATGACCCCATGTCGTACTCAATACGTCAGCCTGTACTACAAGTAACGACCTCGCGCGGATTGTGTGACCTACATGCTGACCCTGTTGACCCTTGTTCTGCTTGATGTTCCAGATCATGTCGGTGATTTTGGGGATATCTGGGATCGTGCTGATGTCATACTCAGACGGCTTCGGCGGTTCTTCGCTTTTAGGGGTAGCGCTGGGGGTGGGGGCGTCAGCCGGGCATGCCTTGTACAAGGTGAGTCAGTTCATGCTGATTTTAGTTGATTGATACTAGAAAACCCCTGACCGTCCTCCCCTCCTTGAGCTCTAGAAAAGCGGCTTTAGCCAAAGAGTGTGCGTTGTGCGATTCAAGGTCGAACAAAGGTCGAAAAAAAGGAAAGAAATGGATTTACATTCACAAATGTACACTGAAAATGATTTTCAAAAACGTGATCATTTACGTCACCTTAAATTGTGTTTTATGATACCCCCCCTTAGTTTTATTGCCTTGCGCTTTTATTGCCACCTTTATTAGTTTTACAACATAATTGCCATTTGGATTCAAGGCACGCTTTAGGAGATAACTTGCGGACCATAGAGGATGTCATACATCGAAAACAAATTGATGGACAGACTGAAAATATAGGTAATAAAGGTGTGATTAAACAAACACCAAAGGGAAATACCGAATAAATGCCATAAAACAGTGTTAAAATGGAATATATAAGTCGGCACTATCTCAAATTTGTTGTCACTGCGTTTGAGTCAGAAAACCATAAAATATGATATTACATGAACAAACACAAACATTGGCCTGCAACGCTCAAAAGTTGACTTAAGCTTGTATATCCACTTCATTTAAAAGGTACCTGACTTACACTGATATCGACACAACATCCGATAGTAGTTCGCAATGATTCTATGACCGCAGCTGCAGAGAGCTTTAGTCCAATGAATGTTTGTATCTTATCATCTTAGTTCAGTTTCCGACATTTCATACCTACCCGTACATACCCTTTCAATCAGGGTTTTATAATATTATATAAACCGCAGCTTTGACGTTACTTAGGCTTCATTCCAGAAACAGTCTATTCGACTTAGTCTACCTAACGATGCACTAGTGTATTGGAGGGATTATTTTACCACTCAAACCATTTGGAGAAGCCGTTACAATGATTGGAAGTGGCGTTTGGAGTATAATAAGAGCTCCATGATGGATGCCTGTATTAATGTACGTCTGTCTAACAGTAACAACACAGGAGCATGAGATGTAACGTTAATTCCTAGAAAGCATGAGGAAAATATTATTACTGTAATCCTTTATTGAGATCTAGAGTTCTTCTTTAAATCCATTACGACGGGGATAGTGTGTAAAGTTCTTGTCAATCGTATATATTTGAAATTTATCAACTAAACGAATATTTTTTCCTATATCATGTACATATGAAGGCAGTCAAACGTTACAATCAATGACCTGCAAATTGAACAAAATTATTTGTATATATTGGTATCTCACATCTCCGTTCTACTGTTTTTGAATATACTTTTTGCGAACCTTCCCAGTCTTTTGTAAGCATTAAGATTAATGTCCTCTCTAGGGGTTCTACAATTTCGTATATAATCCCTACTTGCGTCATCGCCACTTCATATCAATTACTCGTGCGTAGCTCTTCGTAGAAGTAAATGAAAGAATCTATATTTTCTATTCATATTTGTTCAAAGTGAATTGATAAAGCGCAAAGGTACTTATATACAAATGTTATCTCCGCAAAAACTTACATAAATGGATATAAAAACAATACATTGAAAGGAATACAAGAACAGCAATACAAGGAAAAAACAAGATGGATGTCGAAAATAATGAAACAATATAAAATGGCCTACATATAGAAGAAATAAAAGTGTAAACGTAAAAGTGAAACAGGTTTCGGTAAACTAAATTGCAAAGTGCTCTGTCGTTGGATACATTAGTTTTCTATTACTAACCAAATTTTCTCACCTAAGTACTAGTGCTGACGTTTTGGTGTCTATCAGACACCTTCCTCAGAGCTTCTGACTGAAGTTCTGCTTCTTTTTCTGCTTCTCGCCGGCCGAAGTAGGTGGCGCTTTCATGTTCGGTCGTTGTGCTGCTGTATGTTGCAATTGGCAATGACAATTAACACTATGTTGAGTCGATTTTCACTGTTCCAGGTACTGTTTAAGTGGTTACTGGGAGAGGCAGACTCAGGCCAGGTGGCGCTGTTCATGACGTTACTAGGACTATGCACTCTGCTGTTTCTGTGGCCGGTCGGACTGGTTCTGTACTTCACGGGGGCAGAAATATGGGGCTTACACGCACTGCCTTGGCAATACCTGTGCGCCACCGCCGGATTCAACTTCGGTGGGTCATTATAAATGCATGAGTGAATGTATGAATGAAAACATAGATTATAAATGAATATTGTATTTCGTGTAACAGACGTTGGCTTTGGAACAAAACTGACAGAAGACTTCAAACCGCCAAGTGAAAACCACAGACATCAGTAATCATGTTTTCAGCACCAAGGACAGTGCCTTGTTACAGTATTGTCATAAAGGCTACAACCGCTAGATGGCGCAACATCACTGCTGGCGTCTTCTGTTGTACGAGTTTCATTTGGTACGATCTCATTGCAGCCTTTATACAGCTGATCAACTTTGGAGCTGCCTTCACATTCCCCATCTTCATCTCAGTCGGCATCCTCGTCGCAGTCCCGGTTAACGCAGGTAACAAAAATACACCTTTTCGCTGTCACAATAAATATATTCTCACTAGATTTGGGCTGAAATAAACTGCCTCAACAAGCTTACCACCGTGCTTTTTCGTTGATAAGTTTTGAAAATATGTGTCGGCAGGGGGCACGTTAAAACATGGCAGGCAGAGGATTGGTTTCTTTTTCTAGTGAATTGCATTGTACATGTGTAATGTTCTGTTCCTGTCCTTGTATTCTTCTTTTTGTTGACCCAGCGGATCCGATATAGGCACATTATTACCTTTTATCCGAACATTATGTTGTGTTATGTTTTCCTTGTAGCCAAATATATACATGTAATATCTCTAATCTAGATCATAGGAATAGGAAGCTGAACATTGAAACACATGTGTAACACTCTTGCCCTTGTATTCCTCTTGTTGTTGCCCCAGCGGTGGACGCCATAGTACACAATAAGACAGTGAGCGCCATCAAAGTCATGGCGATCATTATCTTCATCATGGCCTTCCTACTGCTGCTGTTACCAGACGGCTGGGAGGAACAGGTCAGTTTGCTGCTCACTTCAGTAGTATATTAGGAGACTGATAAGTATAATTTTGTAGCAGGCTCAGACGTGTTAATCATTAGCCCAATGCATGCACTCTGAATTGTAGTGTTTGAATGTCATGTACACATAGACCCTTTTCCCACTAGAATAGAATTGTCCGGATCAAGCCGAATAGATTCACTTTGATCCGGCTTCGAACCGGATCAAAGCCGGATTAAAGCAAATCTATTCTGCTTGATCTGGACAATTCTATCCTAATGAGAAAAGGGCCATTGTTATGTTATATTACAGTCTTGTTTCTATTGTCTTTAAGAACACACCAATCACAGTCCTTTTAAGATCATTAAGAACACACCAACCACAGTCATGTTTCTATTGTCATGAAGAACACAGTCTTGTTCCCCTGCTCCAGGTTAGGAAGGTGATACCGTGTAAGAAGAAGGGGCCCCCGCAGGAGGAGCTCTTCACCTCCAGGAGTTTACGCAGAATCCACAGCTGTTCCCCCTCGCGCGCGTCGAACGCTTGACTCGGAAACAGTCGTAAAAACCCCGAGCTTTCGCGAAGATGACTGAGCGGTATCACGGAGAGTTGTATCACGCGAGACGTTGGATTCTTACCTTCTCAACCTTTTCCAAAAAATTGCTGAGAAATCATCTAAGAAACTATGGTGGGACAACATTGACTAATGCATCACTTTGATAATGATATATTTCTAAAGATAAGTGACAATAGATATGATATCAAACTATGTGCGACCAGCAATAGTAACTGATCATCCCTGAAAGAACTGTTGCAGAACTACAACCTCAAGAGCACTGCTGCGATGCACAACTTTTCACTTCAACTACTTTACTAAAACCTGTCTTCGATGGTTTGTTCTTTACAAGTTGTATGGCAGAGCTACATTTACCTTGGTGTGTTATTTCAAAAATTCAAATGATAGACTAGTAGCTAATGACAAAGGGCCTTACATCTGTGTCAAGAATGTTCACTTGTTATGTTACCGGTACTCCAGTTGGTTGATATTTCAATGTTTTAGCATAGGGCAAAACGTTAGATTTTGTTTGTATGTTAAGGAGATGTGCTACAGTAACTATATACTTTGAGGAATGTTAGGGTGTGACTTTTGTACCTAATGTGTACTTTGTTAAGCTGTTCAACTGATGGTGGAATTTACTAGAAGAAATTTATCTATGCTACTGAATAGAATATGCTGCTATGCTCCTTGTGATAAAACTGTGGTTATGTAAATGTTTTATCAGAAGTTAGCACGTTGGTATGTACCTAATTTGAGATTTGCAAAAAGATATTGCATGAGATATTTGATGAAATGCTACAGAAGTCAGTGTTTTTTTTGTCAGGCCTACTGCCAAATTTATGTCTGCTGAATCATTTTTTGTTTGGAAATAATTTTGGGAAAAGGAAGAATGTATGTGCTGGTACACATATGCAGCAACAAAATAGATCTATTGAAAATCCTTGATATATATATTGATGAAAACATTTAACTACGAACTGTCATAAAAGTTAGGATGATGTTCAATGGTACTTTGATCAATCCATGGCCATAACGCAAATGCTGGCTTTGTAATATTGTATCATATTTTGTTGCTTCATCTTTAAATAGATTACAACTGTATAATACAAAAAAATGTCTATTGTGTTATGAACAAAACTGGGAGATTGGAGAAGCCTGCTATCATTTTTTTAATTGACATTTCCATACATTGACAGTCCATTTGTAATCTTTAGAATGTCACATACTAGTAGTGCCAACAACATCATGCAGGGAAAAGCAAATTGTTAGTTGCAGTCCCAAGCAAAATCAACAGGTGGCATACAACTGAACCCCACTTTGGCATATAAAGGTAACAAAAATAATACAGATTTGAATGTTTTCATAAATAAGGACACAATATACTTACACTACCCTGTTAATTCTGCTGTAGCTTTAACATGTAAGCAACACACTATCCAATTCACCACCCTTATGTCATTAACAATTCAAAAGATACCACACCTCATTTATATGATCATCCTTTAGAGTATGGCAGTGATATGGATATTTTAAGTATTTGCTGCTTGAGACAAATCTTGCCGAAAAAGGTAAGTGCGTTTCAACCTAATACATGTAGTATGCTTTCTTTTACCAATTCCCAGTGTCAGGTTTCAAATGACTATTTTAAGCACCTGAACATCAGTGTTATAATATTCTCTAGGCCGATAGCAACAAGACTTTTGACTTTTCAGCTTTGTCAGCTTACAATGCAGACATGTAACTGTTAGTGGTGTACTACTTTAGGGACAAAACTGGTCCAAGGGTTTTTCTTTTAACCAACACATTTGCCTGGTGTGACCCAAATAAATAACAACAAAATTATACTGTAAATACAGTCAGATAATTCTTCACAATAACTTAACCACATTGTCTTTTTGTGACACAAAAGAGAACAAAACATTTATAATGTGATATCCCATTATGACAATATATTCATGCTACATGACAGACTTCACTATAGCCACAATGTGATTGCTTACACTACATTAAGGCCACACATAAGATTTGTCAACTTTGAATCACACAGAGTAAGCCATGTGCCTTTTCTGTTACACAGCATGCTCTCTGTTAAGTACTATACCTTCTACATTGTACCTATTGGTATTGCTTCATGGTATAGCAGATTTTGCCTTGATTTTAGCTTTCTTACATTTACATGTGCTAGAATCTGAATACCTTGGGATGTGCTTTTCTGTTTGATTTCTGGTTCAATTAATTTCAGAGGAAAAGGAAACATTTTATTTTCATTTCCGTGAAGCATACAGAAAAATTGACATGTTAAACTGTGTGTACATGTCTGTTGGCATGTGTAAGTAGCATCAGGACACTTCAGCCCCTGGACAGGTCGGCCTTGATGTTTTGGCCCCAAGTCCAGGACGGGGTCCGAAAAGTCCTGATCGGCTGCATTTGGGCTAAACTGTCCAGGGGCTGAAGTGTCTGACGTTCTGAGTAAGTATCTAGCCAGATTGTTCCCCAGCCTTGCGTAACATCTCCTCGGCCTCCTTGTGTCCAAAGCGTACAGCGTCATCTAACGGTACCTGCCCCCAGCGATCCTGCAGGTCATGTCGCACCCCACACTTCTCCAGAAGGAACCGGACCACCTGGAACAAACAGGAGTGAAAACAGGAACAGTAGAAACAGGAAAATCCCTGACTTCCAAGATGCCGGGAATCAAACCTGCGGCAAACATGGGCAGCCCAGCTCACAACACCAGCACGCTAACGACTACACCAAAAGGTCTGGACTCTTTGCAATGAATCAGTTAGTGGTGCTTGAAGCCCACTGTTACACTACTCCCCCTTTTCTTTTAAGATTCCTCAAATCACCGAGTTCAACATTCCTGTGTGGCACACACTTTGCAGCACGTCGGCAGAACGTTCTGCGCCTGCGCAAAACCCCCATTTTTCACAGTTTTCGTTGGATTTTTGGTCACCGTTGCATCAGAATTTTGCCTATTATAGACAATATCTTTTTCAACATAACATTTGTAAACTACAGTACAAACGGAATGTTAACCTTCTATGAGTATGAGATGTTATGCCAAAGTGCTATGCACAATACATTACGGGTTTTTACGGAGGTGCAGTACGTTCTGCCGACATGCTGCACTTTGCCATTACTCACAGGGCTGGTGTGGGAACCAGTGAAACTAACAGGAGCTAGAACCCCACTGTTACACTATGGTGCTTACTAACTGTTCCACACCTGTACATGCCCCTCGGCCGCGGCCAGATGCAGCGCCGTGCGACCGTCGTAGTCCGTCACCTCCATGTCCATGTCCAGCATCACGCAGCGCCGCAGGGCCGTCACGTCACCGTTGTACGCAGCAAACAGGATGTCGATGATCTGCTGACTGCGACTCTCATCCCTAGTGATGATAGTAATAATAATTATGGTTTATTCAATTCGATTGCTTGAACAGTGAATCCCACTTGGCAGCCATATACTGAATTGCGTGGGGTTTCTAGACACAGTTTAAACAGCTACATAATCAAAACCTTAACAGAAGTCTTAGATCTGAATTTAAAAACATCATACCAAGTTACCAGTGGATTTAAAACATTGTACTACATTATATAGACATGTATTATGATCGAAAAAAAATCAATCACACTTTGCAAAAGTGCAAAAGATATGCAATGCATGGTTAACATACTGACCAACAAATGTACTAGAGGTTAATTTGTTAAAATTTGCTAAAACTTATTCCACAGAGAAAACCATGTACTGTGGTTACATGATACACGGGGAAACATGTTATTCTTTCAATCACAGCATGTTGAGCTATATATGGTGGCCCCAAATTTATATGCAACACAACACCATGAAGCAATCTGTGTCACCATAAAAAAACTGAACATAATTTTCATATATCATTATTAACAATACTACCAGTTGTAAGAGAACGTAAATGAAGATGGAATGAAAAAAAAATGTCTTCATACATATAAAGAATGCATAACTAGTAGTACTGCAGCTTACCTGAATGATCTTCCTCTCATAGTGTATAGGCTAATATTCAAAAGATGCACACACACAAGTAATTCAGTCTGGTTACGAAATTCACAGATTTGGAAAGTCTATCTTAAAAACTGTACAAAAGCCTTTAAATCTAAGAGGAAATATCTCAGTGAGAGTAATATAATAATAATAATACTCAGAAGCTCCAAACAATATATGAAACCAAATATCTGGATCTAATTTAATCGGATTCTCCTTATTACTTGTGTCTTTCTGAATTGTGATTTTAGGTGCTATATGAAAGGAAAATGTCACATTATCAAGCAAAATATCAGGAGAAAGATTGTGTGTTTGACACAGTGTCCATATCATCTACTGTAGATAGTCAGACTTCTGCAAAATGGATACAATGTATTTTCATTTAACAGTCATGTACTGATCTGATACTAATTATAACTTTTCCCACTACTGCCTATAATAACAAACCTGTGAGTTACCATGGCCAGTAATTAAGGTCCATTTTCTAGTACTTACCTGTGCCGTCTTGGATCCAGTTTCTTGGACTTGTACTTGAGATTGTCGTAGTGGTGAAAGTTGAAGGTGGAGACCAGTTCCTTGCAGAAGTGTAGACCTCTGACACTGTTGCCTGTACTGTCCAGGGGAGGGCTCCAGCACATGATACCCATCACACTGGGCACTACCAACATGATGCCGCCGGCTACCCCGGACTTGGCGGGGAGGCCCACTTGGAACGCAAACTGTCCCGAATAGTCGTACATTCCACAGGAGTGCATGAGGGACAGCGTGTGCTGGACAGCATCAGGGTGGAACACCAGCTCCCCTGTTAACGGACACACCCCGCCGTTAGCTAGCGTCGCGGCGATGACTGCGCCTGACTCGCACGTTATCTCAACCGAGCAGTGCTGGAGGTACAGATCTAGAGCTTCCATGAGGTCTGTCTTAGGCGGGAAGCACTTGTTCTCCTTTAGGTAGTAAGCTAAGGCAAAGTTGCGATAGGAGGTGGCCTTCTCTGACAGGAAAGTGGTGTTGCTAAAGCCTACAAACTCATCTGCTGCGGCCGCTTTCAGCACTCTGAGGATGTGGTCAAACCTGTCGGCTTGATGGTCCTCGGGTTTGATGAGAGAGCAGAGCAGGATGGCACCCGAGTTGATCATTGGGTTGAATGGCTGATTGTACTTGTTCAAGGCAATCTCGTTAAACGGCCTCCCGCTGGGTTCAGTCCCAACGTATCGGTGAACAGTTGCGTCCCCGAGCTCGCTGACTGCAGTCGCGTACACCAGAGGCTTAACACAAGACTGCAGACAGAAGGGCTTGTCGCTGTCGCCTATTGAATGTCGCTGCCCGTCTACCGTACACAGCGCAACGCCCCACAGGTCAGGACTGAAGCGTGCGAGCTGCGGAATGTAATCCGCCACTTTACCTTTCTTGTGCGAGGCTGACAGCCAATACATTTTGTTGATGTAACTGGAGAATTCGCTAAACTTTGGTATGACAAACTTGGACTGGAAGGCCCGGCCAATAAGTACGATGTTCTCAGTTATGCACTTGCTGAAGGTATCACGGTCTAGAAATGAGCTGTGGGACTCTTGTAGCTTGCGCATGTTGACCATGGTTTCTTTCAGGCGGGGGTCATTTTCCCAAAGACCGACCTCTCGGAGGGCCTTCTGGAATTCCGATATGGGAACTCGACCCTGTTGATTGCAAAGCAGACGGAAGACCCAGTCTTCCAACTGAGGAAGAGAGGTATTTACTTGACTTTGGGACACAGATGTGTCTCCTTCATTCGCTGACTCATTTTGTGATGGCGTCTGATCATCAGATGGCTGTGTAGGATCCCCAGCTTTACTGGACATGAGGTAGGTAGTCTGTTGACACACTGGGAAGCATCTGTACTGTCGTAGTGCGCCATGGTACAGGGCAGGCCACAAGCGATGCATGGTGGTCAATCTGTAAAACACAAGTTGGTCAAAGTATTAATTCATGGTTTAGCCAGCTTACTAACAGACCAAATATCAAAACAACCCATCTAAGCATAGCCTGGTTACCAAACCTATTATAGCTCCTGAGTCCTACATCCTCTCCGGTAACCAGGCTATCTAAGCATTCATAAGTTATCCTGTTAAAACTAGAAAAGTGACTATTAGCTCTCTTTCTACACAATTAACATAATTCAGGTATTTCTTTCCCTAGAATGTATGGCAACAACACAGGTAAGAATCTTGTCATTACATCATCCAGAACCCCCCCCCCCCCCATCCTTCTTGCCCTCTGTCATCCACCAAGTACAGTTGAACTTGTAACTGATGAAATGTGGAACTTCTTACACAGGCAAATATACTCCTGGTCTGGACAAACAGAGTCATAAATATCTGTCACAGGTTATCTGGCTTTTCAAGGTAAGTTTTTGATATGCAAATTTTTGACCCCAATACTTTAAGTATATACCTGTTCTCATTGTTGAAGGACGACTGTAGCTGTATGCTACGTGGCATAAAAGGAATGTTAGGATAGGAAGGGAGATGTTTTGTTTCTCCCATATTTCAAGGACCAAGGATTGTAACCTGCATGTTTTTTTGTTGTTGTTGCTTTGTAATATTATAAGTGCAGCAGGCTTATTATCATGGTCACACCAAGAGCATTTACACACTTTCCACTTTTGCTAAGTGATCATGAAGGTTAAGCAACAAAAATTTTCCTGCTTAGTGAAAACCAGCATTTAGAAACTGTGTCAGTGTAATAATAGACAAGTAGAAGTACAACAACAACAAACAACATGGACTTGTGTGACCCTTGTGTTTACAACTGGAACATGACACACATTATGCAAACATTTAAAAGGCAACAAAACATACAATAGGTGGAAGGAAAATTCGTCCTCTGTCAATGAAATGCGTTGCGTGATATGTCAGACCTCAACACTCGCAGCCTCTACTGAGTCACGCATACGACCAAGGAGGTTATAGGAATTTATATCTGACTGGGTATCATAAACCTCATAATTTACAAGCAGCCATGAAATTATAAAGTACTGACGGTTACAAATATTTCGAGGCAAAACTAGGATTCTTTGTCACAAAACTCTACTTTAGATCAAGCTCTTCAGCTTAAATGTCTTTGCAAACGAAATTTTCATCACTGCAAAGTTCGCCCCCCTCCCCCTTTAACCTAATTTGTCAAAACGTGACATTTGGCTCTTTCCTTCCGTGAATAAGGTACGCGCGGCGTGTCGTTGGTTACCTGGGTGTCAGCGAGACACTTAAGAAGCTTTAAGAAGTCTACAAAAGCACGTTTAAGAGACGATGAGCTAGTTAAGTGGAGACCTTACCGGCGTACTCTGAAGCTTCTTCGACCTGCCCGCCGCAGCAGACGATACAAGTACACACCTCTTTTTCAGGGCGACAAAATGCAAATCTTATCAGTGTTTTGCGCACGGGCACAGAAATATCGACTGCATCTGCAAAATTTTACCTGAATAAAAATCTACAATTTAAAATATAACCCCTTATCATGTATCATTGAAAATGGATGGAAAAAAAAGTGAAATTATGTTAATTTTTGTCCGTGTGATGTCCTTCTTAGAGATCTCGTTCCCAGGATATTATTGGATCATGTTCAGGGAACGAGAATGCATGATTTTCTTCCTAAATGATGACCAAATGACAAATATTTCACAACACAAGCATGTTCATGATAAAATCTCTGCCTTCCAGTCTTTTATTGCAAATACTGAAGTCTGTCAAACAAAACACAGGTAAACATTTACAATCACCACCATCACTTTTAACTCAATTCGTTGCTTTCTTGTCACTTGCAAAGCACAACATTTTCTGAATTTGATGCAGAGTTTAGGTAGTTCTCTAAGGTTAGTGCTGGTTTGTTATATTCAATACTGTTGTTAGTGGTAACACCTTAAAGTTTGTAACAATCCCATAGCCTCTACCAGGCTTTGGTAGCTGGAAAGGGTAGAAATTGGCCAAACAGAGAGACATAACTCTCTATTTGGCCAATTTCTACTCTTTCCAGCCGCATCCCAAAGCCTGGTAGAGGCTAAGTTTAATAATCCAACTGAACTTAACAAAAGTAACATTAACCAAGTGGGTTCATAGAAACAGAATGCACCTGTCAATGTCATAATTACTAGTAATACATTGTATTCCAGGCAGTCGCCCAAGTATAACTGCATGGCAGCTTGAAGGTTGAAAAGTTCCCTAGCAGCTAACAGCCTTCAATTTTTTCTTCAAATTGCCTTTCCTGTACAGGGTTCATACGCTTAAAATACACTGATTGCCTAAACTTCATTTCCAAAACTAGACAATTATTGCAATGTTAAACATTAACAGTCTAAGCTGCAAGTTTCTTCAATGACATTTGAAAACAACTGTATCTAGATTAACATGGCACAAAACTTGAATCTAGTACTTTTTATCATAAGCCCTTGAATTGCTTGATGGGTGTACCAACAATACAATTACTGGAAACACTGATCTTACAGAGTACAGAAATTAGTTCAGTAAATGTTTCTAGTTGACAAGTTCAAGATTCAAACTTTAGTACTCAACCCTAGACAAACCTGTAATGTTACTAGTGCATCTTGCTTGTACATGTAATTTGTTGGAACATTCAACAGAGAACTGCACCTAAAGATGCTACCTTTTCTACATTATTTACATGGGTTTTTTTTTATCATGAAATAACTTTCAACTAAGACAACATCAATTGATGACTAAAAATTATTATAAGGGTGCTTCTCAGTGAGTCATAGAAACAATTACTTGTATAATATTATCAGAAGTTCATAGACCTTGTGAGAACAATTCACTCATTATTCTATTTCTGTACCAAAATAATGATGATTCCAAAAATTAAAACTTTCGTGAACCATATCTAGGCATTAACATATGAAGCTTTTATTCCATTGTACAACATACATAAAATCAAATGGAACAGTCCAAAGCATGGATTGCATCATTCCTAAAGTCTAACTGTCATCCGATGGTGCAGAGAAAGTGAAAAAGTTTAAAAGAAATCTTCTTGAGACTTTGCAGGGTGCCTTATGTATTTCAGAGATATGAAATTGCGGAAACTCAAAGCTGAAGAAGTAGAGATATTTCATTATAGACACTAGTTTAATCAACATGGTATCTATAGCACATGATCACCAACAGAGATAGCAACTTCAAACTGTAACACCTATATGCATATAAGCATAGAGTCCTATATTGAAAGTTCATCTGTGTTGGTAGAAGTCATTATGAACAAGATTGAACTGTAATTGCCAACATAGTACTTGTAAGTTGTATGAGTCCAATTTTTTGTGTTGGCAATTACAGTTTAAAGGAGTACTAACCTCCAGAAGGAGGTGCTATATTTCGACAGGCATTTATTTTTGGTAGTGAAAAATGCATATTATTTTACAGTATATAATTAAATGCCCATTTTGCGCGCAAGTCTTAAAACGCATCGAATCCAGGTCAAACTCTCCAAATACCCTCAAAACTATCCCAGAATACACCACGCTACCCCATTGGTGTCTATGTTTTAAACAAAAAGTTACGTTACAGACCTCATTTCGGGGGCGATAAGAAAAATTCGTACCGTTTTGTGTTCTTTGGTATCTTACCAACCATTGCCCTTCTTGGTGTCCTTATCGCCCCTCATTTATGCCGCAAACATTGACGATGAAAAAAACGGCGTAATCTAGTTATCCTTTCCATAAGTGGCGTAATCTAATTATCTGTTCAAGTGATACTTACATGCAAATAAGTTGAGAAAATCAAAACACGCAGGATGAAACTAGCGCCCACTGCATTAGACATCCTGATATTATAGTATCCAAACCGCAGGTCAAGCAAAGTAAAGCAAGTAATTTCTCAATAATCAGCTTGTTAGTGTGCTTGTCTCCTACCGTTTTCGTCCAAAATATTTATGTTGACCTGAAGTGTATGAGTATTGCGTAAGCCAGAGTTCCCGGATGTATCAATTGTGGTTCAGCATGGGGGAAAATGATATTAATATGACTTTACAAACATGCGCCGATCAACTCGTACAAGCGAAATTATGTAAAATGTCGGTTAGTTATGTATTCATTGCAGCATGATGTATCGGAAAATAGCACTTCCTTCTGGAGGTTAGTACTCCTTTAATCTTGTTCATAAGCATAGAGTCCGTTTACAAGCTGTTTTGCAGTTTTCTACAGATCTGGTGCTGGTTGTCCAGTTGTCTGAGTAGATCGAAGTCATGGAAGTCATGTAGGACGATGGTTTGAGCCTGCGTCATCTCCTGGGACTGCCGGAGTGACTGTGGTGTTCTTTAGTCTCACACACGTCACGGGCGGTGTCCTCTCCGCAACCACACCGCCGCCGACTAACAGGCGACCTGCGGAAAACATTGTCCAGTGAAAACTTGTCAAAATACTATGTAAAAGTTTACACCCTTTTAGTTGACAAGAAAAGCTAGAGTTTGAATTTTAATTGAAGCTTAATTTGATACTGCATAGTTTACATTACACTAGTACTGTTTGTTACAAGGACTAACAAGAGAAAGAAAGAGTTGTTTTATTATACAAGGTTGATTTTACTAATTATATAACATGAACATGGATTTTACCAAGGCTTCATTGGTCCACTTTTCTGTTAAGAAATATTTTACAATACATAAGGGAAAAAAGAGAACCTTGTTGGCAAGATCAAGGTTGGTAAAATAGCTAGTCTATTGTGTAAGTGTAGCACATCAAAATGGTCACACAAAATTACCTGAAAACCAAGACAGACACCGCACAAAAATCGCTTTGCCACACTTTCAGTGAATGAATGCATGAATGAATGATAAATAGAAAATAGGTAAGTGAGTGACAGGAGATGAAAGGGATTCACACAAAGCAGCAGCAAATACAAAATGTAGACACAAACAATACAAACACATAGGACACAGTACTGTACATGTATATCACTGAAAAATACATGAACATAGTACAATACAATTTGCTTGGCTTCAAATGTATTATATGCTAGTGCAAGCTGATGTCTGCTTTATCCCAAGTTCTTATATTATTGCAAGTTGAATGTCTTCCTGTATAGGTCAAAGAGCCAATGAAATTACCTTCGCATATGGTCTGCTCTGTTAATTCTTACTAAACACATTAACATATATGGTGACAGGAGTCTAAATCCCTCCTGCTATAAAATTGCAACATGATGTAACCCAACACCAGTTACCATGGTCCCAGACATCTGGTTCAGGTCATTGACCTTATTTGCTTGGAGAGGAAGAGTAAGAAACTGAGCAAAAACAACATGTTGTCCTTTGGTAAATACACAAATGAGAGACCAACCTGGAGATGCGTCTCTGTCTCTTCCTGCTGTTCCCGCGCTCTTCCTCCGAGTCGCTGTCAGAAGAGGAGGATGAGACGGAGTCTGAGCTGGAGGAGCTGCTGTCGCTGGACGAGCTGTCCGACGCAAACCCCGTGTCCTTCTTCAGGTCCACGGCATCCGCAACTTCTGCCAGCTCTGGACGGTGCTGCTTCAGAGCTCTAGAGACACATGCAGATGAAACAAATAGGTGTGAGTAGAAACAGGAAAACCCCTGACTCCCAACATGCCGGGAATCGGTACAAGTCATATACATCAGGGCATTACAGCCATCCCTCAACAGAGATCAGGGGGGCACCACAGACTTTCTGCAACCTATGATCCACTGCTCACGGAGTCACGTGTGTTACCTGTGTGATGTCAAGGAAGCGGTGGATTGCTCATTCCTTGACAAAGACTGGAGTTGTACAGTCAAAACTTTGGGTTAGTCCAATTTTTTGTGTTGGCTATTGCAGTTCAAACTTGTTTCATAGGTTTGATTGTAGATGCTGTAGAAAATTCAAATACCACAAAGTAATCCAAGGTTATACCTTGGAAGGTTTAGACCCAAACCCACCTGTACCACTTCTTGCTGAGTTTGGGCCTGCCCCGGACAGTCTTGTGCCAGACGATGGGAAAGTTGGTGGGGCTACAGAAGTTCTGTGTGACTGCGATGGTTGTGTCCAGGTTCAGTACAACATGCCACCAGCCGCCCGGTACAAACACTGTGTCTCCTGGACCCTGTAGGATCTCCAGTGGTCTGGGAGAGGAGAAAAATCACCATCAGTAAATTAAACATTACAAATTCTATGTCAGTATTTGTCCCTCCTGACCTCCATATACAAGGGACAAAAAGAATTAGTGGATTTTTTCTACAGTGATTCCTGGCACTCTTGGTTGCTTCTTCTTGAAGCTGAGATTGAACACATTGTCAGCACTTTTCTTAGGTAACATTTCAATGCCGATTCTCATTTATGTACAACCTGTTACACACACTCACATTTATGTTAAGGATAACATGAACAGTACAGAAGCTGAAAGTCTTGAATGAGGGAATAGGACACTAGGAATGATTCTACAAAAAAAAATGTGTTATGATGTGTAACACACCTGTATTGTTGAGGCCATGTGGGTTGTTGAGTACGGGGGTAGACTTGCCTGAACCATGTGATGGCCTCATCTTGCTGCTTTCCACCTTCTTGGGATGACACCTGAATTGAAAATGGACACAAATGTATCTTAATTTCTTCAACAAAGGTAAGTACCTTAGTGTTTGTACATGTATTTGCATTCCTAACCAGTGGTACAAGTTACTACAAGCAGTATAAGAGCCTTTTGGCTAATAATTACTAGTACACAAAAGACATTACAATACAAGACATGGCTCAATGGTCCATGCCTACTGGTAGCTGTCAGAAAACATTATTTTTTACAACCTTTCCCTTTGAGAAGTTTGACATTTGCTTTCAGGAAAATAGTAAAAGGCTTGACAAAATTGGGCCATATCATGACAATAAAATCAATGTGTAAGCTGGTTCCTATCATCAAGGAGCATCATGTACTTAGTTAGAAAGCTCCTTGCAGCAAGGGTTGAAGTCGGTCCCAATTTACCTTGACAAGTTCTCGTGGTGCACTGGTAGGAAACAGACACCATCTCTTGTGTCCGACCACCAGGGCGTTCCACGCGCTCGTACCCAGAGGGTCAATGTGGATCCCGGTACCCGAGCGAGCTGGACCAATCACCATCCACCTGTAGGGAGGGCGTTTGGGTTCACCTGGAGAAACAACAGATTTGTTATTGTTTGGACAATATTATTGTGTTTTTTTGTTTCTTTCAATAACAAAGTTACTTTCCCCACAATGACATTGTGCTCACAAAGAATAATTCTAATACACATTTACCATTGTCCTTACCTAGTGATCTTTCTTTGCAATATACATGTAGTTAAGTAAAATATCATAAGCTGTATTAGAATCTTAAATTTTTTTTATTGATCAATTTAAACAACACAAATACATAATACAGAAATACGTCATAAATATCTTTTTTAATTAGCTAAATCTACATAATAATATAACTGTGTAAATTGTTATCTATACATCATATGCATGACATCTTTGTCCCTGAAACTCTAACTTCTAAGTACATGTATTATTATAAACGCGTAAAAAAGTTGATCACCAAGCAGATGGGTGATACGATTGTTGTCCCTACCTGCGTACTTGAACAAGTCATCACTGAAGAACGTAGGGACTTCATAGTCAGTCAGTAGTTTCTTTTTCTTGGTGTGTTCCCCAAAGCTGCTGTCAAAAATATACAGTGGACTGTCGTCTTTGTTAGTCTCGCAGTATTCTACGTAGTATTTCATCTTCATTTTGACGGAGTAGCCGTCATTGTCTTCTCCGCATTTGAACTTCTGGTTGCGATATTTCCGTTTCAGGCGGTCCAGTGTCCACTTCGCCTTGGCCCGCCAGTCATCCTGGGCGTGAGTCAGCACCACGGGTTTATACGGCCTCTCGAAGCGCTCGACAAACTCCTCGGCGGTCAGAGATCGGACGTCCACCCGCTCGACGTTGTCGTTGACCGTCTCGAAGGAAAGGTCGAACGTCTCGCTCAGGTTTTCCGACGACCATTCTCGGCTGCCTCTCAGCTCGGGCCTCGCCGCCTTCTTCGCCTCCCGAATCCGCTTCCGACTCCTGTGGTTCATTTCGACGAAGGAGCTTTTAGAGGCAGAGTTTTACTATTGCACGCGAGCAGACGGATTACGTTGTTGTTTACGATAAGAAATTATCCAGAACATGTCCAAGAAAAATATTTAGCAGTGCGCCGCCATCTTGATCTTCCTCTCACCACGTTTTCGCTCTCGTGCCCAGAACACGTTCAATAAATTTCAGTCTACGGTTATAAACATTGTCAAAATATTAATATAAAAGAATAGAATATGGTAAACATTTTAAATTATCATAATGAATCCGTAGTCACGTGTACATGAAGTATGTTAAGTACAAGTTTATTGCAATTCCTGGGTACGAGATTTAAGCCTCGCTTCTAAACCTCGCCTTGATGACGTCAGACCAAACGTGGCGCGAAATTTGAATGGTGTGTGCTGTACTCTATGTAACCCAAGCTCCGGGGGGCTCCCTACATAGTCCGCTTTTCGGGGGCCGGCTGGATGTTGGGCGGCCGGCAAAAGCGATTTAATCAGGCTAGCTGTACTCTACCAGACTCCAAATGTGTTGCTGAAAAATATCTTTAAAAAATACTGAGCAATACGCCAGAGGAGTTTAATAGCCGGCAGAAAGTTTCAACCATAAAACTGATACCAGACTGATGCCAGGCCTAGTACAAGCTAGCTCCTTGGCTGTAGTGTAGGGCAAATGTCATCAAGGGAATTTTACTATAGTATAGACACAGCTACATGCTTTGTACTCAATGTAGCACCCAAGATAATGTGATTAATGGTAGTAATTTGGATTGCCCTTGTTAGATAATTGACTCCTATTGATCCTGACCCTCTTTACAATTGATGGGTAATTTCACTTTCAATCAAGTGTTGTAGCAAGCTTTAGAGTACTCATCAATTACTTAATTTGTCAATGACAGCCGAAATTTTGCCCTCAATTTCTTTATGTATTCACTTCCTTCTGATACATGTAACTTCTATGAACCCTTTATAAATTCCTCATTTGGATGTCATGTTATTTATTATAAAAGGTAAAGATAGTTCCATAGCCTTTTTTGAGGCAGTAAGAGCAGTGGTAGCCTTACTAAACCGCACTCCTGGCAGACGCCCACCCCGAAGGTTACTGCCCCCCCCATGGGGCGGGGGTCATTAACCTCCGGCCGAGAGAGCTTGTGTAACACAGGCTAGAGCAGTGGGTTTCCAGGGTGCAAAGTGCCTTGCCGAAGCTCAGTAACATGGCAGGATTCTACCCAAGGACCTCTGGGTTTGTGACCCCACAAAGCAATTTAATCAGACAAATGGTGCATGCATGGTTTTATGCAGTTGGAATACTAGTGCACTGTTGTACCAGGGACAGTCTCCTCTTTCCTAGCATAGATGATACTTTGATGTATTAAGTTGCTGTGGCAAATTGGAAATATGGGTACTCCAAAGTAGTGTATTTACCTATTTATATATTATTTATATCATTATGTCTTTGTTACACTAATGGCCAAAGGCAGTTGGCAATTCTAAATGGGGGCCAACATGTATATATCTTTTAAACAATTGAATTGGTTTTATTGAGTCATGGTCATTTGTGACTTAAATACTAGTAAGGTAGGGATACATAACTACATACACATGTAGTAATAACACAATAAAACCAGAGACACACAGGAGTACTGTAGATACGTGTTTTGATTTTATTACACAGACTGTCTTCCTACACTCTTGATGGGTACATCATCTGAAACAAAAAAAGTAAATATTAGTTAGGACATGCCAATTCAATATGTAAATCTACATCACTTCTGTACATAATAATCGCCTACTTTAATATAAACTGCAGCAACAGTTTGGAAAAATTTTCTTTGCAAACAGTTCATTCATCTAGTTTTCTTTGAAATTACTGATTTGTAAACATACACTATTTGGATGAAAGCTTATCTGTGTTAGTAGAATCCATGGTTCTAGAGTTCAAGCTTTGTTCCAAGACAAGAAAGGAACTTGCCATAAATTTTCAGTCGATCTCTTCAACCTTCATCTTCCCACCACATTTGATGCACTCCTCACGTTATCACGCTTCCGACTTCTGGAGAGTCAGTGAGTGCATCACACATCTGACGAAGGTCGATGAGATCGACCAAAAATTTATGGTGAGTTCCTTTCTTGTGTTGGAACAAAGCTTGAAGTCTAAGTCTAGAAGTATAAACACTATCTCTCGTATTTACCACTCGGATACGATGTCCCATGGCCTTTGCTGGCAGATTTTTGCGGAACTTGGCCCTCACACCTCCACTGTTGCCATGGGGACGGGTGACCTTGCCCCAGATGACACGGATCTTACTGGGGGCTCCACCGGGTGTAGCTGTCTTCCTGTTTAGGTGGAAGAAAAAACAGACTTGTCAGACATCTTTTTCATCATTTCAGTAGTCAAGAAAAGAAAAAACATAATTCAATCGGGTCTTCATGTTATACAATACACCACTTATTTACTAGTTGTATAACATTGTAATATAGTTGGCAATTCATGGCAACTGAGTTTAGTCATCATGCAATACTTGGAGGTATGATTGCTGGAGGAAGATATACAGTAATACTAGTATATAAACTTTTACAATTCAAAGATCTGTTAGATGTCATGCAGTTAGGTTTCCAATTTGTACAGGGAACAAATGATGGTTAAGATGTAAGCTGGGAGTGGGAGGTACATTCATCATATCAAACCCAAAAGGACTGTGCAATGTTTTGTTCCTTTCTTAATCAGAACTATTCTACGAAGATGAAGGGTAACCTTACTTCTTTGCCTTGTAGACATAGGCACACCTCTTGCCCATGTAGAACTCTGTGTCCTTGCGGGAAGTCACCCCCTCGATTCTCAGAAGGGCGGTGTGCTCCCGCTGGTTACGCAGACCACGCTTGTAGCCAGTGAAGATGGCTTTGCTGTATAACCTGGCATTTTTAAACAACAAAATTATGACTAGCTTACGACATTTATGTTCATTTGCTCAGTAGTAACTACAAATTTTTACATGACACCATTTCTATATGCAACTGCTTGATTATAGACTATATAAATGAACTGTTTTATTTCAACTTTTAGTTCTTACTACGATTTACACAACATAATTAATGTTTTTTCATTGAATATCAGTGAGCAAAAACTTAGTTACCTTCCAGGCATGATGGCTACTCTGCCACCTTGTGATCTGAAAGGAGAATGAAGAGCCAATGTTGACTGACAATGTGTAGGCAGTAACGTACCTCATAGTGTTATGTCAAACTGTTGACATAAAATTATAAAATTTGCAAAAAAGTTGAAAGGCAACCCCTCCCCTTTGCCTTCCAAACACACTACATACGTATTTATGTGCATAAATAGTAGCAGATAAAGGTAACCCCGATCTGGCTAATTCTTTAAGGTACTATTTAATAGTCCCTTCGAAGCAACTGGAAAAGATTGGCTTGCAAAGAAACGTGTACTAGTAGTAGTAGATCTTTACACTCGATCATCCAGTCCTGAGGATGAAGTATGCCATGTCTCCGTTTAAAATCCGTCTTGAATCACATTGTTACGGTTATAATCGGGAGAAATAATCTGCATTCAAGTAAAACCAAACTATTAAGATTTTATTTGGTAAACATAGTTTTACAACAGCTGATGTATAACGTACAAATATCGGCAAAAAATATCTGTGTATTGAATTTTTCGTACCTTCCCCAGACAGCAAGATGGCGAAAAGGAAGTTGGAGGGATTGTGGGAAATGTCCTGACGTCACATCCTCCATGACGTTGCGTGGGGAACCAAGGTAAACAGATAGCGTATCCAGTGTGCAGTTCAGACGGACGCTCTGGTTTTCCGTGTTTTGTTGCATTTTCAGCGTCTAAAAGGTAGGTTTGACTTTGCCAACTACGCCAGCATATCGTGGGTAATTGTGTGCATCGTCACTGAGACTAAAGTGTTCTTTTGTGAGCTGTTTTCGAACGATTTTCTTGTGAACTGCAAAGGTAAAACTAAAAGGGGGAGGGCAACTTATTGTCATCTTAATCTTTATCGTATACTGCCAAAGTTTCGATTAGTTTGTCACGTATGTCTTTTCACATGTTCAACAGAAAGGTTCACATGGTAAGAGGATAGACTGTGCTACAAGGAACCCCGTGAACTAGTCGAAGTCTGTTGTCAACTTAATAAAACAAAGGGGGAGGGCCAATTACATGTTAGCTCTCTGTTGTCATGTCAATCTTTATTGTATACTTCAATTAATTTTAATTTGTCCTGTAATTGTTTGTGTATTTTCTACAGAATATTTCACATGGTTAGAGCATAGACTCTGCCACAAGCAACCTCAAGATCTAGCTAAAGACTATTGTCAACACACGTCATTCTGAGTGAACCCTCCCGCCATGGACCCAGACTCCATGGGCCTGGCCACGCCTGCTGACGTGCTGCAGGTGGCCACGGTGCTGGAGGACTGTGTGGACCAGCTGGTCGTGCTGGGGAAAATCATGCCGGTGTCGTACGAAGGGAGACCAGATGCTGACGAGGTATGGTGGAATCCTGCACACATTATTATAATATATTATAATATCATTATGTGATGTGATATAGCCTCTTCCACACCTTGGCACTCATGTTCTTATGTGTATTAAATTTGCTACACAACATTTTTTTCTCAAAACCCTTACATGACGACTTGAAATAGATACATGTAACATTATGTATACAATCCTATGATGGAGCATTGAACCAAGTGCCTAAGTGTCCTGTTTTCACTTAATGCTACAAGGAGTCTGACAGTGAAGATGAAGATGAGGTTGGTAAGAAATCCTGCATCCAAATGTAATTTCATGGTGTTCTGGAAAACCCTTAGAATAGCCAAGCCAGTTAATACAGGATTCGTGCGTAACCCTGCATATGGTTGAAAATTCCATCCACTCTTATATTAGTAGTATAAGTGTTGGTATAGATAAAAGTTAAACTTGCCCAGCTCTCTCTCTCAATGGTAGTACTAGTACTCTAATGACAGTTTGATTACCAGTAGTTTTCTTTTGGAACATCTAACTGAGAATGGCTCTATTGCACTTGGTGATAATGATTGCAGCCCTTAGCAATAATCCAAATACTTGTCATACATTCAGATGCAAATTAAAGTACTGATTGGTTTTATGTTCTCCATTACAGATAGTTGGAGATGAGATTGGGAGGATTGTGGACAGCCAGCGGCAGTTGGAGCAGCAGTTCTCCCAGCTGATGACTGCTCGACAGGACACCAAGGTATCAGGTGCGGTGGGGAAGATGGACCGCCTGATGCAGCTGGATCAGGACATCACAGCCGTATCAGGTGGCCTGAAGGGCAGCAACCAGTTCTTCACCCGCAGCCTGAAGCAGAGCCCACTGACATCTGACAACCTGGAGAAGATTCAGGCAGACAGGTGGGTGGGAAATAAGGGAGGGGGGCATTTTTCAGGAATTGTGCACATCAGGAATTCTTACTCTCCAATCAGAGGTTTGGGTTTTGGTTATTTTTGCCGTGCCGTAACAATAGTGACTTTTTAAGTAGGACGATAGTGTAGCAAAAATTACTGCCTTGATGTTGGTAACCTCAACATTACATGATTGCCAATGAGCAATCAGTAAAGCTACATGTTTTCTCAAATCAATTAATTGCAGGAGAGATCTAAATATCTAATTACATATTCTAAATTATTGTATACAAATTTTTAACAATGTTTTCAAGTACATAATGTATGACTATACATTTTTGTAGTTCAGATGCTTAACTTCAGAACAGTTTCTCAGGGAAACCTTAGTATAATACCATTATACATGTCCAGTGCACATGCTTGCTGCATTTTCCATACAAACAAACTACATTGTACTGTACTTTGTTTCACTGCAGGGCCTTTGTAGAGTCAGTGATGGTGGAAGCCCAGTCAGAGCTGGCGGTATCGGGGACGTTCCTGTCCCTGCTCCAGTCTGTTCTGTCGGAGCGAGAGAAAAAGGCAAACCTACAGCAGACCATCCTGAGGGAGGAGGAGGGGCGCAAGAGGATCAAACAGCTACAGAGGCTGAAACTGGAGGTCAGGAAGGAGAAGGAAGTCGAGATACAGGTGAGATACTCATAGATTTTGTATCAGGTGAAACTACTGTTTTACTTTTTAGCCACCGTGTCTTTCAGTCATTTCACGGAATTTTGCAACTCGTAACAGACAAAAATTTTGCCCCATTCATCATTTTTGATGGACAAAAACTTGGCGTATAAAGAGACGTCATTAAACTGAGCTTAGTTTACCAGCAAAAAAATTAGCCATTTGGCAACAAATTTGTATTGTATGGGGTTAGACAGCAGGAAGGTTAACAATTCAAGGTATTGAAGACATTTTAATGAGGCTGGACATAGGTCAAAGCCATAATCTTTTGCTTCTTAGAATGAGAATGATAGCCCATCTAAAATTGGCCATTTGGCACCAGATTTGTATTGTTTGTGGTGTTCCACAGCAGGGATTAGGTGAATTCAGTGGCTTGAAGACATTTCAATGTCGATATGGCAAGACATAAGTCTAAGACAACATCATCTTTTATTTCCCTACAGAATCGGAATGAGATGATAGCCCATCTGAAGGACCAGCTCCAGGAGATGAAGGCTAAGACTAACATGGAGGGGAAGTATGTGAAGAAGAACGCTGAAGTTCAGGTGTTCCAGACACAGAAGCGCTGTAACATGTCCGAGCAGGCCCTCAGAGAAGAACTCGAGGTATAGGAACTTTTCTGTCCAACAAATTTGAATGTCGATGAAGGTTCTTTATTAATAAACCAGAGGTTTTCATATCTATTGTTTGGTGACCATCTGCTCCAGGGGCCCTTTTTCACTGAAACATTAAATATGAAAAACCACTGGTTGAATAAAGAACCTTCTTATACAGTACTACATGTAACAGTATCGTGCCAACCTGATGAAAGTATTGCCAGAGATTTGAATGTGCTAACTGTCAATCAATCAATCAATGGTTTATTGTGGGGACACAACCATACAGTGGCAGCTTTTTGGTTGAATTATGAGTCAAATGAGTTTCACTTGGAAGAAACTTTTTCAGCTGTCTTTTGACATATTATGTCTTCCTTACAACTTTTACTTCTTTTCACAGGCGCTGAAGGTAAAGATCGATGAGGAAGTGAGAGTAAATGGAGAAATCGAATCCTTCCTGAAAACACATCAGAGGGTAAGTAATATGGCACAAAATTTGCACTATCATTTTCCAAACCGTTAAAAAAGTTCTTGGAATTAAAAAGATGTGCATGACTCCATGGTTCTATTCCTTTGTGTAGGAACTTGAGGAGAAGGTTGAGTATTGGATGGAGAAGTATGACAAAGATGTGGATGCCAAGCAGCATGAACTGGATGTACTGAAGGCGTCCAAGGCTCAGGACCTAGCCAGGCTACAGGAGCTGACCAAACTGGTAAGTTAGCCAGTCAGTACTTAGAGTTAATGATAACCTTGTACTAGCCTCTACCAGACTTCGGCAAGCATCTGGAAAGAGTAGAAATAGACAGATAACATGCCATGGGAGAACAGTTTGCCACTCTTGAACTGTTCTCTTAGCTCAGACCAACTGGCATATCACCAGACTATTTGGCAAATTTTTACTCTTTCCAGCTACTTCTCAAAGCTTGGTAGAGTCTCAACTTGTACAGCTATTCTGCGGTCAGCTACTGCTAGCATAATGATTGCAATGTGTATTACTTAGCTTATAGTTGGTGTATGTAAGTTGGCAATAATGCTAGTTTTATTCAATTGAGACATTTGCACGACCACACAACTAAAAAAAAACTCTCTCCCCCAGTATGCGGAATATGAACAGGTGGTTGTAGAAGACAGGATTGAGAAAGAGAAGGCCAGGAGAAAGGCAGAACAGGAAGCTATCGAGCTCCAGTGTGCCATTAAGGTTAGTACAGCGACTGTGGGGATGTTTCATTTTGATCATTTTTGTGCAATGAAACTAGATAGTTACAACATACATGTATTTCTGCATTTTTGCAGTTATATAGGTTCACTTTGTTATTTGCATCAGGTTGAATGTGAAGTCTGTAAATATCGTATTTTTGCCAATATATATGTGGATCTTTTTAGGAGGGAATATATTATGCATGTAGAAAGCATTACATGTAATCTCTCAGATTAAGCTTATAGGGCCTTAATCTAAGTTTAAAAATGTTTAGGAAAATGTCTGAAAATGGCAAAAAAATTGTAACAATTTAAAGTACAATGTATTGATTTTGGTTTCACCAATCTACATGTAGTTTGTGCTTTGTACAGCATTATTGCAAACATTAATTTTGTGACTCACAATAATGTGAAAAACCTCCCATGTTCTATCTGCAGCTCCAGTCCTGGTGGAGGGGAGTCATGGTACGCAAGGGTCTCGGTCCTTACAAGAAGGGCAAGAAAGGGAAGAAGGGCAAAAAGAAGTCTGGGAAGAAGGGCAAGAAGAAGAAGAAGTGAACCATGTATCTCAAGAGTCTACAAAAGGTCTATCTAATTCGTAAAATAAAAGATTTTCTTTCTTTTAATGATTAATGACAAAGTGTTGACTGTTATTCTGAACCTACACAGTGAAAAGGCGTGTATTTTTACAGATATTGTTTTATGGAATATAACATTATATATAATTCAGTTCTTATATCTTTACAACTGGAAAACCTTCTCACACACAATTTTTGTGTGTTTCTATACTGGTGTTTCTCACTGATCTATTGTAAAAAGTTGTACATACTTTTTTCGTCATGAATAAATAAAACATACATCACAAAGTGTTTGATTTACGTGTTGCTGTTGATCATTTGCAGTGGTCCACAATTCACTGTATTTAAAACTTCTATTTAAAGTACACACAGCTTCCACAAGGGGTAATATACTAGTATATCAAGTGAATGGCAAGGACTACAGAAACATACACAAGTTTTACAATGTACTATACTGTGTTCCTGTCTAACTGTCCTGAATCCAAAAGTACAAGTTTTGACCATATAAAAATTATACATCATCTAGCATTCATATGCTAAGCTAACATGGCCTACTCATACTACTCATAATTTCCTTACGAAAACCAGAGAGAATCAGATACGATGTTTTAATCCGCTGATTTCAATACCACAGTCAATTAAGCTCGTGTGTTGCGCTGAAGGGCAGTTATACCGGCTATACCGATACAGATATCAACATCAGAATTGAGTCCAACGTCCACACCAAACAAATAGCTTCCTTCATTGGCACAAGTGCATGCATTAGTAAGGCAAAAGCAAGTCATAAAACATTTGTACATCTTTTATATACACTTGCTTAAAACTTACTGACCACTGTGTATAATTTTGAAAGAACTAACAAACACACAAAGGAAAAAGGCAGATTTTCAAACTTTAAATTAAATATGGCACTACTTTAATTTGTATATTCATGATTGTTGAAGACTCATGCTTTATGATTGTTAAAGATCATGATTTTTAGAGACTCAATTTGCTACAGATCACATGAATATATACAATTGTCTTCATTGCATGGTTCATGTATGTGCTTTCACCTGAGAAAGAACCATAGGCTCTATAGCACTTCAAAATATCCCAGAATTTTTAAAATACACCTTTTGTAAGGCACATTTTGTTGTTTAGTTACTGTAGATTTTATTATAAAAAGCTTGGTTTCAGGATTATTTCTTGCAAATATCTATATAAATCAGCCACAAGCAGGCTGGCAAAATATATTTACTGATACATGTCATTGCCAAATTATACATGGTATCAATTGGCAGTCAATTTAACTCTTCAAATTTTCTCCACTATAGGAAATGTAAATAGTTGGATTAAATTACCAAAGGGCAAAATTTCCCATCCACTCTCATGGGCTCTCTGAACTCATTTACACAAAAAATAATTATTATTCCCAAGCAACCTCCCTTCAAGGGTTACTGGCTGTTGAATAATTTGATGATTTTTTAAAAATTTGTTAAGTTTCAGTCTCAGATTTCTTCTTCTGTCTCTTCATCAGAAGTTTTACTGGCACTGTTGTGCCTCTGTCTGGGGAGAAGTTCTATTGCTTCTGGCCTGCTTCTCTCTTCCTGATCATGAGTCCTTACCAGTGAGGCACTGTGCTTCGGTTTGTTGTTATTAGTTTTCACCCGGCCTGCATTGTAGATGAAAACCGCTAGGAGGACGATAGGCGCTGTCAGGAAGAACTGCAGCGTTGGCACAAAGTGGAAGAGGTAAATAGAAGAGGTGATTACAATCACCGTGGTGACCTGCGCACCCAACACGTGAAACATGTTATCCCTGAACTTCAGAATAATGGACACCGTGAGTCCAAATAACACATAGTCGAAGAGTAGGGCAACAGAATAACTGTTATGCCCATAGAAGAAGCCACATTCAAACAGCCGCCTTCTGTAGCTAGGTATTATCAGGGGGGTGATGCCGTTAAATAGAACGCCAAACATGTACAGCTTGCTGTTCTGGATGAAGATGCTTTCCTGCAAGCCGTCTCCTTCCTTGAAGATTTTTTCATTGTAAATGTTTGCAGAGGAGGCAATGAAACATTGAACTATCACGAAAAGGTGGCCCATGTTTAGGGAAAAAGGTAAGTTTGTGCTTGGGGCGTGGTGGTCCACCTGAGTTTCGTTACTGATGAGGTTCTGTTGTTGGACCATACAAATCTGGTCGTGGTGGTTGAGACTGGACACGACGACGTGGTCAATGGCCTGAGGTTTCTGGACAGTACTGGACTCTGGCCCCACGTTGTGACTCTGACTGGACAGGGAGACAATAGCCAGGAACAGGATAGCCAGGGATGCCCACTGAATAGATGTAAGGACCCTCCTGCAATAAAAGGAATAACTGGTTAACAATAAAAAAATAAAGTATCATACATTTTGTGTTCCTGTGATATTTCACGTTATTCTAGTTATACGAAATTGTTTGATATTTGAGGTAGATGTTTGTACATTGTATGTAACAATTTTTGAGAAACACAACAGTAACATTGAGCTGTACAGATGTACTCACTTCAGTACTAGTCGGAACAGCAGAGATGTGGTGATGATGACAAAGTTGGATAGCAGAACTGCCATTGCCTGCAAAACAAACAATGTTTCATGCATGTTTTTCAATGTGTGGATATGGGACACATGCCTAAAATATACAATAGACAAAAGGAATGACAGAAATATGCATTGCTTGTTTAATATCAATCTAGCTACTAGTATTTATTGGTGGTACCAAAAATAAGGGGAGTCCTTGGGTAGCTTTTGTTGGGACTGTTTCAAAATTAATGCTTCAAGTATAAAATGATGACAGAAAGGCACTACAGTACTACTAGTAGGAAATGGCAGTAAATGTCAATATAAGACAGATTTCCTCATCCAGAATATTTTTTGTTTTGCTGCCAAGGAACTGCATTGGATGCCTTTAATGTATAGACCAAAGAGATACATATGGTACTCACAGGATGGAAATATGTTATGATGTAGAACTGCATGAGGTTGTCCAGAAAGTACAGCAGACCAGGCACTGCCCAGCGTAGCAGGCTCAACACCTCATGTCTCGTGATTACAAATTTGTCCTTAAACGAACCCTCCTCTGAAAAAGCAAGGGGAGGGGACAGGAATTTAATTCATACAGGGCAAATAGGTGACAAAAACAGTTACATCTGAATTTTGAAAGAACACAGCATAATTAAGGTAAAAAAATTAACCAAGGAAATAAGTTTATTTTGATGCAGGTGTGACCAGTCTTGCTTTAATACCTGTGTACTTGACCCATATAGCGATGGTCCCACACACAAATAGTTTCAGTAGCTCTGCACACACACTCACTGTCACTGGTAAATAGTCATATCCTCCATCTGAAATAGCACAATGTATTAAACAATGATAAAATGGTTTACATGTATTACCTTAAGTTAAGTATCAATATTTTTTTAGTGAATCTTAGAGTTATAGGCCATCCAAAATCAATCAATTGGTTCTTATAATACTATATTTTTCCTGTCAGAATTGCAAAAAAATCAGGTTCTGAATTACTGTTTCCAGGAATCATCAAATCAAATTGGTGTGGCCAAAAGATTATAATTACTAGTAATACTACTGTAGTAATAATAGTTTGAGGCCATGTTGCTGTTCTTGTTTGTTTAATATAAAGTACTTTAAATAATTAATATACTCACGGTCGTTCTCCGAGAATTTCATGAGCAGAATCTTCAGCACACCAAGTGTAATAAACCAGGCTCCCAGCAGAACAGTCGTGACCGTGTCACGCTGAGGACGGAGTTCTGACAGGAATGGCTTCATCTCTGATTCGGAAGTCGCTCTTCTCACCAAAGTGTCAAACTTAGTTAATGAAGCTTGGCCATTGTCTGATGACCTCAAATACCGGTACTGGGCGGTAGCTCAAAATGTGCTGTGGGGCATACAGGAATGTCGTAAATATGTGCTAGACCAGTCACGAAGTAATCATGAATGTTGTCTGGCAGCTAAAGAAGACTGCACGTTATAGCTGTAGGCTGAGTATCACCTCAGGTGAGAAGACAAGAAAAATGTGTCTGGATCATTTGTAGACCAGTTCCTGCAATAACGTTATATACATGTATGTACTATGATTAAATTTTTTTTTTTTTTAACAAAATTATATTACAAATTGCAGCTTTTGAAAGGGACTCTTTTGAAATCCGCCCCTTAAAATCCCCCATATCAAAATTGGATATACATATATTTGTGCATGTATAAAAGGAACAAAGCATCACAGAAACTTGAAATCTACAAACTAGCTAATGCTCAACATGCCTGTTTAAGCTATCAAACCATGGAGCTAAAAAATCGATTTTTTTTACCTCCATGATCAAACATGTCAAACATAATTTAGGTGGGCTAATAATAGATCACTCATCAATAGATGATTTACTAGTAAAGTATTTAGATCAGGTGATTAGACCGGCAAAAGAAGATTGCCACTCTCTTTGGTTGTCAACATAATCTAAACGTTGTATAAACGCTGTAGTTGTCCTAGTTCAACGTCTACTACTTCGCTAGACGTGGCCAAATCATCACTAGGTAACCTTTGTAAACGTTGCCAGAATAACATTGACACTGACAGCCAAGAAGATACTTGTCAGTAGATGGCTACTGTTTAAGTGTTACGTAAAAACATTGTGCTCAATTCTCAATACCGTTACCTGATATCGTAGGGGGTTCAATGCCTTCTTTTGAAGCCATGAAGGGAAAACCAGGGTCGTCAAAAAGACCAAGCAAAGATTTTGAAGTGCAACATCTGACTTGTCCACGTTTTAGGGTAGAAGTGGGTCAGACCAACCATCTAACGGGGATCGCTGTCAACATTGAAATAAATCAAAATCCCTGTATGTCCTAAAATAGCACATTCTATCAATTGAAACATGTTCTTTATGTAGTATAAGAGCTTTTACTATCTAAAATAAAGACTGGTTTATGATTTGTAAAAATTTCTGAAACGCCCCTATTTTTAGTGTGCTCTGCCTGTGTTCCTCCCGGGAGGCGTGATATCGTCATCACCCAGGCCCCGTCATGGCGGGCGCGACTGTTTGTTACGAGTACCGGCCGTTAAAAAGACCGAGACTGGGCCCTCCAGACGTCTATCCACAAGATCCGAAACAGAGAGAGGTAAGGAGGAAGACTAGGGATACGATAAAACGCGTCGCTGATGCTTAGGAGGGACGGGGAGGCGCGATTCGGGCGTTCAAAATCCTGGCCTTCGGAGACGACAACAAAAAACAAAGACGAATTCTTGAGCAAATTTATGTGGCTTCTTGGTGATAATGTTATGAAAGTACGGCAGATATCGTTTTGCGGAGTACTTTATTAATACTTCGCAAGTTGTTCTTAATATCCTAGGCATTTTTGATCACCAATTGAGTAGATGGTGTGGATTAAGTCATAAAATTTATGGTACATGTATCTTGATTTTCTAGTTATGGCTTTCGCATGTATGCAAGGAGTTTCAAATAAATTTATCAAGGATGTAGCCTTGGCGATTGTTGTATTGTAATTCTCTTGCTTGCAATAATGTAATAAAACAATAAAAGAAGCCCTGTAGCACGGTAATATGCGATGGTAATATCAACCAGCACGGCAAATATAGCATTTTAGGAGATAGGAAATTCTAGGAAGTCAATGAATAATATAATGTAATTTATGATCAGCCTTTCACAGATGTAGAAAAATGACGTAGACTCTAGAACATGCATATACATTTTTTCGTCAGCTATGTTTATTAAAGTGTGCACATAGGCTCGAACCAAAGTGAGACTTTCACGTAATCCATAATTACTGAACATGACATAATTTTTTCCCTATCTCACAGGATGAACTCACTGCCACAAGTGTTAAACAAGGATACAACAACCAACCCAACTTCTCAGATGAGGTAACTTTAGTAGACTGAATTTTTAACATGCCCGAGGCAAGTGGAGACAATGTTCTTGTGCTGTATATGGTTAAATTCATACATATACTATAATATACATATACAGTGAATATGTATATTGAATTGCATACATCAACGGTTAAAAGAAACGCAAAGTACGGTAAAGCTTTTACTTTGTTGTTGTTGTTAGTCAATGTTGACTTGATGATGTACTTTTGTGATGCGGAAAGTACCTTAAAAATATGCACCAGCTATTCCCATTTTATGGATCATCACTACAGTATACTAGTTGCGTCGATGAAGGTTAGACATCCAGGTAATACGATACGCCAAAAAGCAGTTACTCAAGCAACTGGATCAAAATCATATCCAGTTGCTTGAGTAACTGCTTTTTGGAGTATACTACTAGTTGTTTTATTATATTTTCTCTCTCTTCTTCAGGACAGCAGATTATACTATCAGCTGCAGACTTTGTTTTTAAAATCATATTTTTCCATTGTGTTCCTCCAGCATGGAACAGCCAGGAACTGTAACATAGACACATCTAAGTTCGGCGAGGCTTTTGCAGCAATCCTCGCTGAGAAACAGAAGCTGAACACACTGCAAGAACCAGGGAGGAAGAAACCACCTATCAATGCTAAAGACAACTTCTGGCCGGTGGGTCCACATGGGGTTTTCAACAACACTGTTATTGCTTAACTGCAAGTCACTCGTCTTTTGAGAAATTTTCAACGTGGAAAAGTTGTGGATGTATAACATTCTTTCTTGGTTTTTGTAGGTAACTGCCCGTTCTAGGAGTGCCATCAATGTGTGGTTCCAAGACTTGGCAGGCCAAAAACCTCTCATGGCCCTGTCTAAAAAGGTGGGGATTATTTCAATGAGTGATTATTTGTCATGATTTTCTAGTAGATTACTGTACTGTATATTTATAGGAAGTGTAAGTTAATTGCTTTTCTTATACATGTTTTGCTGACTATTTTTTACTTTTCAGGTGCCGATATTTAACAAAAAAGAGGAAATCTTCTCATTCCTGTGTGAGTATTCCGTCCCGTTACTGCGTGCGACCTGGTTTGTGAAGATGACCTCGGCGTACTATGTCGCCATCTCGGAAGCCAAGATAAAGAAGCGACAAATGAACGATCCAAGCCAAGGTAAGGTGCAAAAACAAGCTCTATCATTGAGTGCACATAAAACACTGTTACTAGCACAGTTACAGTTGCTGTAACAATTGTAGCAACAAATGTGTTTATGAGGCTTAGCCAGGGCTATTCTTAAATCCTACACTCCCTCACTATCCTGTTTAACATCTGTTGTTCCCTGTGGATCGGACATGCTACACGTTGGTGCTGTGGCTTGATGGCAGCATGCCATTTTCCTCTAAAAGTCTATCCTGTGGGTTAATGCAAGGATTTTAACCCCCTTTCTTCATGCCACATATATATAACTTAAGGAGTTTAAAAGCCTCCCTAATAAATAACATGTTGTGGATCTGTATCTTCCTTGGTCGACCTTATGGGTTTAGGCCTTCCACATTCAGTGTTGTAATGATAATCATTAAAGGTACTTATTATAAAATGTGTACAAGTAGGAGGGTGGACTGAAATGATGAAGACTGCAGAAATAGTCTTTGTTGAGACTGTCAGTGAAGTCAGTTCTACTTCTAATTTGAACTCTTTCTCTCCCCTCAGAATGGACCCAGGCCATGACGCGGTTTCTGAAGGAACAGCTGAGTAAGATCAGCGAACATTACCAGCAGACCCCCCCTCCCGCAGGGGGCTCCCAGTCCTGCTCCAACCTGCTGGGCACCAACGGACCAACCATGAGCCAGGACACAGAACAAGCCATGAAACTCTGGCAGTACAACACCAGGCTCACCTTCTACTTGTTTCAGGTACGGAGATTCTCATTGGTCGTAAAAAAAATGCTAGCCGTGAAAACTTTTCCTGACTTGTTATGTTTACCAAAGGAAAACATATTGTTTTTGACCAATAAGGTCAATGACCTGATCCAGATATCATGGTAACTAACGTTGGGTTACATCATGTTGCAATTTTATAGCGGGAGGGATTTAGACTCCTGTCTGCCCATATATGTTGACCATATTTATATGTGAATGTGTTTGAGTAAGAATTAACAGAGCAGACCATATGCAAAGGTAAACATTGTGCATTTGCTTTGCAAATGTTACCTTTCTAGTTGAAAAGTTTTTTTTTCAATTGCTACTTCATGAGATATCAGCAGATCACTGACCTTTGCCCTTTCACCTCTGCCCCAGGAGGGCCTACTTGACCGACAGGAACTGCTGACTTGGCTGTTGGATTTGCTGGACCGTACCAAGTCATCGGACGACAGCATGCTGCGGCTGTTCCTCCCGATGTTACTACAGGTAAGCATAGACACTGGTTCTGTAGTTCTGACGGTTTCTGTCAGGAGGCGCTACTGCATCTAAACCAAAGGTACCTCGCCTACCCAAGAAGGCCACCCAGGGGACCAAAGTCAAGTGGTCTTCTTGGACAGGTGGCCTTCTTGGGCAGGTCACTTATGCCTATGGGGAGAGATTTAAAGACTTGGAAAGGGTTGTTACAGCCAGGTTTGATGTTTTTTTTTTTCCTCGGCAGTACGTGGACGACTTCGTGCAATCCCAGCAGCTGAGCCGTCGCCTTGCGTACACATGTGCGAAGAAGATCGCCATCATGTGCAGCGACTCCCCCTGTGCAAGCGCAGCCCTCAACAACCAGTCTTCTGTAGGACAGGGGTGAGTTTCATGTCTAAATGTTCCCACTCACTTTTTATGTTTATCGAAGGAAATTTTATTGTTTTTGCTACGTTTCCTCTTCTTCTTCTCCTTCAAGCCAAAAAGGTCAATGACCTGAACCAGACTGTCTGTTACCATGGTAACTAGTGTTGTAACATCATGTTGCAATTTTATAGTAGGAGGCATTTAGTCTCCTGTCTGACCATATATATGAATGTCTTTGAGGAAGAATTAACAGAGCATTTGCTTTGTTTCTAGTTTCTATCAGGACCTATTCAACAAAAACCTTTCAGCCATTTAGGTACAGAAACTGAAAATCTTTCAGTGGGTCTGTCAGCATTTCTGTTTTCAATCAGAATACAAGGAACTTTACTGTAATTTTTATTTCAGGTCTGCCAACCCTGTTTCTGCTGTGTACAGTGAGGTTCAGCACTGTTGTCATCACAGAGCTGTGGGTGAGTAGTAAAGCTGGAGACATGTGTTGCATTTTTGTGTGGAGGTACCTGTTAGAGCTTTTAGCAGATGTAAGGGAGCTTGTGAAGAGATGGAAAGATGCAACAAACAGTTTGTAGAAAGATGAAATATATATGATTATGGCTTTACCTCAAGCTTTATCTCAAGCTTTTCCTGGTAAATTATGAAAATAGTAGTTATTAAACAATATTCCGATCTGTTGTGCCCAACAGTTCTAGGTTTGAGCTGTATCCTACAGACTGTCACCTTGTGCTGTCCCACTGCGTTGGTGTGGAACGGGGTGGGAGAGTCCAAGTCTAGTGCAGTGACGGGGTCCCCACTGGACATCCTACCCTGTGCACCCTCCAGTCTACCTCTCCCATCCGGGTTAGCTTCAGCAGCCAATCAGGTGAGGATATTTACATAGGCTTGGGGTGATGACATGCTTCAGTGGCAGCTGAATGAAGCTGCGATGATGATGAAATAGATGTGAACTAGAAACCAAGGGTCTAAATCCATACTTGATAAATTCTTTAAAATGCTCAGATGTTGAAAAATGATTAATCGTACCATCCAAACTAGAATGTACTGGGCGGATGTTCGGGCCAAAAAAATAAACGTACCATTACGTTTACACTTCCCATCGCCTCCTGCACACTGTTTTTCCATTTTTATTCTTTATCATGTTATGTTTATTCATTGTACTACAAATAAATAAAACAAAACAAAACCTTCTGCAGATCCGCAGTAACATCCGGGCGCGGGAAGATGAGATCAGACAGCGTGGCCAGGCGGCGGAGGTGAAGTGGTCGTCGGACAAATGTCAGCAGTCCAGAACAGGGTCAACCATCAGTGCCATGCTGACCGTCCTAGAGATTCTGGACAAGCACACGTTTGACCGGATGGACTCCAACAACTCACTGGACACCCTCTACAACAGGATATTTGGTAGCTCCCATGGCAAAAATGGTGCTGAGGTAATGATATTCTGGAATATACCATTCAAGTTTAGGGGTCTACCCATAAAATTTTTTATGAAAAAATTTTTACAAAAAATAATTTACAAAAAAATTTTACAAAATTTTTATGAAAAAATTTTTACTCTTTAAAATTACTAAAAGCATGTTGTATTACAAACAGTAACATTTACTATAACAGTTAATAACAGATTTTGTTGCAGTTTTGTAAGAGTTAAATTCTCAAAACATGTTTTTTCTTTTGTTTTGAAAAACAGTGTTCGTCCAACAACGATGCCATCATAGACTTGCTGTGTGAGTGGGGAGTGACCACTAAGAGAGCGGGGGAGCACAGGGCCATGGTGGTGGCATATCTGCTGGAAAAACAACAGGTGGAAATGGAGACAGAGGTAAGCATTGTGATTATGTGAAGTGTGGAGTATTGTAGCCTGGTTACCAAACCTATTATAGCTCCTGAGTCCTATTGTGCTTTACTTGAACACTGCTAATTTTATTTTGATATTTCCATCTTCAGGGCTCAAAATTCATTCTTAGGAATAGGTGCACTCACTGGTGCACTCAACCTAAAAAATTGGGTGCACAAAAATATTTTGGATGCACCATATGAATTGAAATAAGTAGAATGTCGGCAAAATCTAATTACACTGTATGTTTCATTTGTAAAAAAAAGTAGTACAAGAATGATTTTATCAATTTTCTGGCACTTAGATGTTAAGAATGCGCTCTATACATGAACATTTAACATCTTGACATACGTAAACCTCCGAAAAAAATTGGGTGCACAGCTCCAAATTTGGGTGCACTAAGGTGCACATACACCCAGTATTTTGATCCCTGAATCTTACTAATACATGTATCTATCATGTTTACTATGCACACAGAGGTTGGGTGAAATGGAGACTATGGATGAGAAAGAGTCCATCTCATCTGCATCGTTAAGCAACAACGGTCTGCCCCCATTTCAACAGCTGCTCATGAGGTTTCTGGACACCAAAGCTCCCATGCTAGGTATAGTTGGTAAAGGGTGTTATTATTGTAATAAAGTTTTACAAAGTTGTTAGAAAAGGTAATGATAGTCCCATGGCCCTTTTGAGGCCGTAAATGCAGTGGGTTTTTGATCCACTGTGTCTAGGGTAGGGTATTGGAAGGTGGAGTCCATCCCTCTCCTTCCACTGCCTTTTACCTCCCCAACCAAAGTCAGGTACCCATTTTACACTTGGGTGTAGTGAGGAAAATTATGCAAATTGCTTTACCCAAGGACATAATGTTTAGTCAGAAATGCAAGGAATTGAGTAAAAAAAACTGTGACTTCTCGATCACTTGTCTGCTTACCTTAGCCACTATACCATTTGACATCAAAAGGCAAAACCCACCGCAAAAAAAGCTGATTAAAAGACATTCAATTCATGTTTGTGTTGATGAACATTTTTGTAATTCCACTGCAGATAATGGTGAAGAAATCAGCGACGAGGAACGCCAAGCCTTCGCCAACCTGGTTCTACTGTTCAGCGAGTTGATACGCAGCGAAGTCTTCTCCCACGATGCCTACATGTGCACGCTGATATCACGGGGTGACCTGCTGCACACCCCTACTGACTCAGAAATGGTAGCTCCCAGTCCAATGCCTGATGGGAAGGGGGAACAGGGACACAGTAAGGTATGGCTGGTTATTTGCTAAATTTTTATGAAATACTGTGTATTATTGTGCATAGTTGTGACTTAAGGGTTTGTACCATCTTTAATCTGTGGGTGGTGTCGTGCTCGAAAATGTCATTATCCATTTTCCATACACTAAAGATGTCAACATTCTACAAAGGATTAAAAATTTTTTTTTGATAAGGTAGGACAAATTAGGTTGGCACTGTAGAAAAACTTTCATTTTGGAAAAGATTGAGAAGCTTTAAAAGAGACTTTTGTCGCAAGATATCTATGAAAGATCTGAGCTGCACTTTTCCGAAAATCCTGGAATATTTTCTGGACAATGTTTTACAGCCAATTTCTGTAATATCACTTCTGTAATACCGCTTTCATAATATTGCAACTGTTGTGATATAACTTATATCGTTGAAGAGATTCATTTGTCACGTATAGATACAGTTACTAGATGATTCTTTCAACAGTGACAAGTTGGAAGGGTAAGGATACTGACCTCCAAATTTTCGATGACTATCAGTCCATCTTGTTTACGTATCCTTGGTCCCTTCCAACTTGTCACTGTTGAAAGAACTTATGTCATAATATACCATTTTAATGAATGTTTTCCTAGTCGGAGAAGTCGAGCTCCCACCTGGAGAGACTGTTACAGACAGACCTGGAGTCAGACCTGGACCAGCTGGACCTGCTACATCCTGAGGTAGAACCTGTGGACCAGGAGGAGGAAAAGGTAGGACAACAGAGCACTTCGGCAGAAGGTACTGCACCTGCGCGAAACCCGTAATGTATTGTTCATAGTACTTTGGCAGAACGTCTCATTTAAGGTTGTATTCGCATATATAAGGTTAACACTCCCTCTGTAGTTTCCAAATGTTGTGTTGGAAAAGATATTGTCTGCAACGTTCAAAATTCTGATGCAGTGTTGGAACGGAAGAAGAAACAGAAATATAATACATTTGTATGTTTTCCTTTGGTAAACATTGGTTTTCAAACAGCTGACAGCACAAGACTGTATATGGTTTATGTATTTCAAGTTTTGATGATGAAATTTTAGCCTAATACTGATTTGCCTTCTGTCAGGAAACCAAGATGGAGACAGAAGAAGATAACAGCAAGAGTTCTGCGCAGCGGCAGGAACAGAACAAGTCCCTGCGACACATCCAGTACGCGCGTAACTTCCCGCTGCCTCACGACAACTCCGCTCACGAGCACAACCAGCGCCTGGTGCTGCTGTACGGGGTCGGGAAGGCTCGCGACGAGGCCAAGCATCAGGTTTGGAATTTTGAAATTTCCACCATTTTTCATGGTCATTTTTAATCATTGAAAAATCAAGAACCATTATGGAACCATGTAAACTACATTTGCAAAGCAAATGTATTATGTCTACCTTCACATGGCCTAGCCCAAAAAACTACCGCTCTGCCTATTCCTATTTAGTTACATTCAAACATGTATATTATATGGCAACCAGCCCCTCTAACTCTGCACTGACACTTGCTACATAATGTAATTCAAGACCAAGGGTGTCTGCTACAGCACCAGTTACCATGATGACAGTCATCTGGTCTGGGTCATTGACCTCATTTGTTTGGAATGGAAGAAGACAAAACGGAGCAAAAAAAATATTATTTCTTTCTGTGAGGGGAAACATATAAAGTATTTTGGGTCTACATCAATTTGGTCTTGCCAAAATCATATCATCTGGAAAAATTTTGACTTGTGAGTTGTAATCCATTTATTGCTGTGTCAATCAATTTCTTCAGGTGAGAAAAATGACCAAGGAGATCCAGAAGGGTCTAAACAAGCTGGGAGGAGTGGAGAAGAAGGAGGAGAGCAAGAGTAAGAAACAGAGCAAGTCTGACACTCCTGTGGACCTACGGGGGCTGAAGGAAAAGGTGGGAACTACAAACTTCTTCCTGAAATAAAGAATTTAATAATCTACCTTTGATTGCTTCTTTCTATTGGGAACAAACCTAGAATGGCAGTCTAACTCTAAAGCAAACATATTGAATACAGATCTGAACTAGAAAAGTAGAAAGTACAGTGTACTCCAAGAGTGCAAACATTGAGGCAGCATGCAGAGTTTTACCATTTACTTACAGCTATTTGAATTTATCTTTCATGCAGCAAAATAAACAGCTAGTGACTTGCAGTTTCAAACAAAGCTGCTTAGTGGTTTTGTTTATCTCCAACTGGTGAAAAATCCTTTAAAAACTTCTTTCCAAGCTTTACGTCATCCACTTGTTTCTTGGACCAACTGGAACTGGTTCCCAACATTTACTAATACCGTACGGTATGTTTTTTTTTACTTGAACCAGTCTGGATTCTGGAACCAGTCCATCGAACCAGTACACAGCAGTACTAAAGTTTTTTGTTTTCAGGTCCAGCAGCTGACGTATTTTGACCAGCACACGGTGACCCACACGTGTACACACCACATCCTGGAGATGGTGTCAGGGTTCCTAGCAGGGACCAATGCCCACCTCCCCCCTATAGAGCACATTACCTTTGTACTGGACCTCATGGAGCTGGCACTCAACATACATGGGCTGCTGGACTTTACTATTCAGGTAAAGGGGTGTGAACTGTGAAGCCTTCAGAACTCTCACTTGAGCATGTAAAGAACTTAAAAACAGATGTCTAATTTGGAATTATTAGGCCATAGATTTCAATGCTGACTTTTATTTTGGTCAAACATAAGCGTAAACAAAAGGCAAACACTACTACGTTTCTCTTGGGCCATTGTTTCTAGTTCTGTTAAGTTCTTGATACATGCAATATGCTTTATTTTTCTAGATCCTCCTTGCACAGATTGTTTAATGCTACCATAATTTGATTTTGCAAACAATTTTCACCAAAAGCTGCATTTTGGCTTTTACTAACAAAACTAGTACATGTATTGGCATGCATGTATTATGAATTAGTGGGCTATGAGTATGTTAAGTTTTAATTCCTATTCTTGCAGCTGTTGACAGAGCTGAGCCAGGTAGAGGCAGAACTGATGCTGAAGTCCTCCAGTCTAGCGGGGTCCTACACCACCAGTCTGTGCCTGTGTATCGTGGCAGTACTCAGACGCTACCATGCCTGTCTGCTGGTGGACCAACAAAGATCTGTCACTGTGTTTGAAGGGTAAGAAAAGTTGTTATTTTTGGGGGTTTCGTTTTTGTTGAAGTAGAGTTGGATAAGACTTCTTTGAAAGTTGTTTCTGTATGACTTAAAACATTGGCTATTAGGGTTCCCCTTTCACACAATCAGTATAGACTGTTACCTGGGGGGGGCATTTTGATGTCTATCAAACACCTTCCTCAGAGCTTCTGACAGGAGAATTGCTTCTCACCGCTATCTGTAGCTGATGTAAGTGGCAACTTTTTCAGCAAGAACACAATCCCAAACAACTTCATATAGCTTTGAAAGCAGAAGCTCTGAGGAAGGTGTCTGATTGACAAAATTTGAAACGCAAGCAGGTGAGAGTGATTTGTAAAAGGAAACCCTAATATCCTATGCTTTACCAAACAGATGAAACTATTTTTGGGACTTAAAAGATTTTTATTTGTAGCTTATGGCTTTTACTATTGTGTTGTTGTATTCCAGACTGTGCAGTGTAGTGAAACACGTGGGGAATCCGTCAGATTGTTCCTCCCCTGAGAGGTGCATCCTGGCCTACCTGTACGACCTCTACACCTCCTCTTCACATCTCAAGGTCAGATGTCCCAGCACGCTGTTAGGCATTGTTGTATTCCTGTGATGATTATGATTTAAAGGCGTAATACAAATGTAGGACATAATGAGTTTAATAATAGACTGCTTTTTTTTCAGCAACGGTTTGGCGATGTGTTTAGCTCAGCCTGCTCTAGAGTGAAGAATACCGTTTTTGTCAGTATCCAGCCGTCAGCGTCTAACCTCCTGTGGAACCCTGACTTCATGTTAGACATTGTGGAAAACCCCAGGTGAGCCTCATACTTTGAAACACTGTATGCTTGTGCTAGTTGTACAAAATGTATATATTTGTGACTCAAAGAAAATTTAAGTAGACCATGCCAGATTCCATAATCTTCCTTGACTATTCTAGACTGTCAAGTAATTCAGTCTGTCGTTTTATTACGATTACAGGATAAACATATTACAACAGCCAAGAGAGCGATTGTCGCTGGCCAAAAAGTTGAACGAGCACCCAGCCAACCGCTATAGTTTTGTGTGCAATGTGCTACTGATCATCTGTAATGGACAAGACATTAACAGGTTTGTACAGTACTATATTTTATTATGAAGAGACTTTTTTTAGAAATCTCTCCCTGAAAAATTATTATCTGTTCTACTAGACAACTTAATGCAGGTATGGTGCACAGACAAAGTGCTGTGGTTCAATGCTAAAGAGGATGGCAGATAAATACCTAATAATGCGGGTTTTATTTGAAACACCTCACAGCCCGAAGGCTGAATTACATGTCCCGTACATTGTATAAAAACATATTGTGGCAATAAAATCATTACATATTTACAATACAACACTAAAAGTTAAAATACCAACCTCATTAAAAGTACTAGATTAAAATCAAATATATAACGGCATGTACATTACAGGATTACATTACAGAGTGCTGTTTAAAAGCTGTACGAGGTAAGGCAACGGGCTTTTCGCATATCTTGCTGTGCGTGCTGGCAATTGGTCTAGTTTTTTGTTCTGTCTTGTTTCCCTCCCACTGATCTCTCCCCGAAGTCGAGGAAACCAATGTCTGTACTGTTCAGACTTGTACAGCTTCTGGGCAAACTTCAGGCACAGAGAGACACGTCGGTCTTCGAGTTTCTGGAGTTGTAGTGCTTCACATGCTGCAGAGTAACTGTGAAAGGTGTTGCCGAGGATGATCTTAGTTGCCCGCACTTGGATGTTCTCTATCTTTCTCCGTTGACTGGACGTTAAGCCTGGGTGCCACAGGGGTGTTGCATACTCCAGGACCGGCCGTACGAAACTCGTGTAAACAGTAACCAAGTCGTGTGTTGGTAGGTGAAACTGCCTCAGCCTACATAGGAGATACAGCCTTTGGTTCCCCTTTTTACACATTTCCAGGACGTGCATGTCCCACTTCAGATCTGACTGAAAGGTTACTCCTAAGCACTTGGCGATACTGACAACTTCAAGTTCATGGCCGCCAATGGTGAGAACAGGAGGAGGAGGAGGAATCCGGACAAAGCAGACTTGCATTGCCTTACACTTTCCCGGGTTCAGTTTCATTCTGTTGGTTTCTGTCCACGTAGAGAGGTTGTCAAGATCGCCCTGTAGTGTAGGTGGATGTGCAGCAAGTCTTGTTTCGATCAGGTTCAGATCATCCACAAATGCCCACGACTTAGCGGTCAGGTTGTCGGTGATGCTATTGACGTGAGCTATAAAGACAATAGGGCCGAGTTTCGTTCCCTGTGCCAGGCCACATGTAAGATGTTTCACTTGCGAGAGAGTTCCCTGGTACCTGGTTTTCTGACTCCGGTCAGTGTGAAAGTTGGCAATCCATGGAACAAGTTCCGGGCGGACTCCAAGCTCCAGGAGGTGACGTATGGCTGTGGTATGATCTACAAGATCGAAAGCCTTACTAAAGTCCGTCAGTACCCACGTGCTGCTTGTTCCACGCCTGTCTGCCGACTTGAACAGGTGGTCGGCCAAGTTACAAGACAATGCGTCGTCGAACGACCCTTCAGACATCCAAACTGACTGGGAGATATGTTGTTACCGATGTCCTGTAGTACCCACGAAGCGATGAATCCCTCACAAACCTTCGCGATTAAAGACGTCAGTGAGACTGGACGTAACTGTTGATGCTTGGTGGGTGAGACTTAGGAAGTGGAACAACAACAGCTTCCTTCCACTCCCGTGGCACTATGCCTTCATACAGAGACTCGTTAAAGATATTCGCGATCGGCGTGCAGAGTTCGTATGCAAACTCTTTCAGTAGGACGCCGTTTATTCCATCCGGCCCAGGTGATTTCTTCACCTTCACTTGTAACAGTTTGTTGTACACCTCCCATGGAAGAACTGTGGGGGAGCGCGTGACGGAAGAAACGCTGGTAGCTTGGTGACGTCAAGCGGTGGTAGGGATGTTGTGATGTCGGTGAACTTGTTGTTGATGATATTTGCAATATCACTCGGGGTGTCAGGTACACCTTGCACTCTTACCACCATCTCTTTCCTCTGTGTGCCGGTGAGAACTTTCAGCTCCTTATACCAAGCACTAGGATTTTGCTTCTTTAGTTTCTGAACTCTGTTGCTGTAGAACTCACTTTTGGCCCTTTTAATTGCTCTTTGGACTTTATTGCGAAGTGTTCGCCATGTTACCCAGTCCTGACCCTCGAACGCGCGCTGACGGAGCTTGATCGCGGTCTTGATCACTGGTGACATCCATGGTTTGTCTTGGATGTGAGTCTTGATTACTTTGATGGGAAAGTATGTATCGATTGCATGGGTTAAAATCCTGTAGAAGGCCGATGTTTTGTTCTGTGTTCCCCGTGCCTCCAAGACTTCTTCCCACTGATACTGGGTTATCCACTGACCGAACGATCGGATGTTGGACTCCATCATAGGTCGTACCTGACGTTTTGTAGTCTTGTTAAAGACCTTCTGGTGTTTGGGGTTCAGTAGAATCAAGTTATGGTCACTGCGCCCCAATGGCGAGGTCACAGTGGGCGGGTGATAGAAATCAGTAAGGTTTGTCATTATGAGGTCAAGAATAGCCTCGGATCTGGTTGGAACATTTACAATTTGTTGAAGACCATTGCCAGAGCACACATCAGACATGTCAATACGGTTAAAATCGCCCATAATCAAGTAACCTGCACTATCATATTGGGTTCTCAATTTGTCTATGGTGTCTAACAAGTGTTGCCTTAAAGTTTCATCACAATCAGAGTTCGGCGGTGCGTACACTATACATACGATGATAGACGAGACCTTCCTAGGTAGGCGCTTAGGGCGCAGCATGAGCCACATACATTCTAATTCGTCTGGGACATTAATGTCAACAATCTGGTGAGTAGCTATACCATCCCTTACATACAAGGCTACCCCGCCACCACGTCTGTGTTCTCTAGATTTAGTGAACGTGGTGTACCCATCTAACGACCAAAAATCAGTAGGGACATCGTCACTGAACCAGGTTTCAGACACACCTGCTACTTCTACATTCTCAGATAACAACACCGAGTGAAACTCATCAAGCTTGTTCGCTAACGACCGAGCGTTACATAAGAGAACTGATGGTACAGTGTTCTGTCGAGAAATGTTCGGCTTATTTACAGAGCTCTGAGTGTTCGAAGATGGGATCGGTACTACCAGTCTCGGTCTCTGCAAGATGATCGCCGGTGAGCGCTGACGAAGACTAGAGCTGTCGCTGGACAGGACGCGGCCGGGAACGGATGCTCCAGGATTGTCCCTCAGAACGCCTCGAACTCCGGGCAGTTCCCTCGCTGTAAACATGCCATCTCTCTCCAGTACAGGCTGGAATTCACCGGCTACTTTACATATGTGTGGATGTGGTTGTTTACCATCGAGATTGAAGCCAGCGTATTTGCATATCAATGTTCTGTTCCCAACAACTGTAGAAATCTTACGTTTAAAATATTGTCCAGCTTTAGTCCCTCTAGGTCTGCTCCGTAGTTTCCACAGTCCCAGGCTGAGTAAGTTGTTCTTGATTTCTGAGCCGACCGGGGCAGATGTCTTCTTCAAACCCCGAAGAAAATCCAAGGAGTACCGGACGATCGCTCTTGGGCAGGAAGCCATTATGCAGGACTCGATGGTGTCCAAGCAATAAACAGTCTAAAGTTGCATAAAACAGGTCCACACACGTACATAACAAGTCCGAAGGGCTTCAGGAAACTTTCGGACATACAGAATATTGCACTGGGGGGCTAAAAAGGTAATAACTTTGCTAAAATCACACACAAAACACGGAGCGACGTTTTCGTGCGGCTGCCCCGAAAAGCGCCACCTAGTATGTTGACTTGTAAGTTGTATAGAAATACATGCATTTAGCAATGTTTTACATTGCCCACCAAAGTTTGTTTGAGAACTGTATATTGACTTTCCTTGTACAAGGAAGCAGGTAAGAGTTAACATGTGAAGAAAATTTGTTACACAGTAGTCTAATACAAGAAATTGTAAACTTGTGAAGTTAACACTGCCATCTTTTCTTTCAATCCACAGGATCAATGAGATTTCAGTTCTGTGCTCTGAGCTGACTGCGTTCTGTAACTCCCTGAGTTCAGAGTGGCTCGGTGTACTGAAAGCCCTCTGCTGTTCCTCTAACCATGGATGTGGCTTCAATGACCTTCTCTGCAGTGTAGATGTAAGTAGGCAAATCTGCATCTAATTTTTTACACAATGCTGTACAGTTCTGCACTTTTTCATATCACCACTAGGAGGCGTTGTTGAGACATGTTCTAAACTTTGTCCCTGCAGGTTGGAGACTTGTCCATCCATGACTCACTAGCGGTGTTCACAGCTATCCTGATTGCTCGACACTGCTTCAGTCTGGAGGACTTCGTCAAACATGTGGCCATCCCTGCACTCATGGCAGCCTGCCCTTCTGGTAGGTGGAAAAAAAGATGGTTCAAAATTTTTTGGCTTTGGGGCATGTCTTTAGTTTGTAAATACATTCAGTTTGCTTTTCCAGTCTTTATTTTATGTGGTTTCCTTGACTTTTGTATTATATTTAAAGAGATTACAAAAATTTGCAGCTATGAAATATTTGTCTTTTAACAGTGACTGCTAACTTCACACTTTAAAGCAACAAAAAATTTTTAAAGAAAAGTGCAATGTATTAGCCTATCCTGCATAATTATGACACAATACATGTATTTGCATTCCCAGCTGGAGGAGACCAGGATGCGGAGCCAGGTGCGCGTCTGACCTGCCACCTGCTGCTGCACCTGTTCCGCCGCGGCTCGCCGGAGCCCGTGGACGCCAAGAAGCCCGGCCACCGCAACATCTTCCACATCAGGTCGTCCTGCGACCGCCACCTGCTGTATGCTGCACACAACAGCATGAGTGTGGGGGCCGTGCTGGCTGTACTCAAAGCCGTGCTGATGCTTGGTGAGATTTCAACTTTTCTGCACTTTTTTGTGGCACCACTAGGAGGCGTTGTTGAGACATTCTCTGAATTTGTTTGGGAATAGGTGTGTTACACAATTTTATCATGGGCCCTCTTACCATTGGGAACAGTTTCTGTTGAAAGTAGAAAATTCAGATTGACTACTAACCTTGCCATGGCACATGTACACATGTAGCCATATTCTTCATCCTTGACTTGTTTGGCCATAATTTCAACCTTTAAAATTCTTAGAATGCCTCATTTTACACCATTTGTTTAGAATGATTGCATTACCATAACAACTTTAACAGCCTATGGCTGCAAGATGGCAACATACAGCTTAATATTGATTGTGCTTGTGAAATAAACAATTGATGATGACCTGCCTTTTTGGTCCTACATTGCCTTGCATTGCCCGCATGCAGTATGGTTTTCTTTAAACTTCATACTAAGCTTAGTAGTACATGTAGTAGTAATAATCGTCAGAGCACTAGTCTTGGTTTTGAACCAAGAGGTCCGGGCTTCGATCCCCTGACATGCCCGATGGGAAGGAACCATACAAATTTTTTTGTCTTCTACTGCAACATTCGTCAGACGTTCAGACGTTGATGTTACCCCTGTGTTGTGTGTCCAGGTGATGCCGGCCACACCTCGGGAGGCCCAGGTAACAATACAAACTCCTCAGGTGAGATCAGCATCTCCAGCCTCTTCGCCCCCATCTCAGGACTAGACGACCTTGACCTCGACCTTGGGGGAGGGTCAGGGTCACGTGGGTCAGGTAAGGCCTGTGTAGTTTACAGTCATGATTTATTATGTTTATCGAAGGAAAACATATTGTTTTTGCTCAGTTTCCTCTTCTTCAAACACAAAAGGTCAATGACCTGAACCAGACAGTCTACCACCATGGTAACTGGTGTTGTGTTACACCATGTAGCAATTTCATAGCAGGAGGGATTTAGACATCTGTCACCATATATATGAGTGTGTTTGAGTAAGAATTAACAGAGCAGACAATATGCAAAAGTAAACATTATGCATTTGCTTTGTAAATGTTATCTTTCTAGTTATTATAGTATGCATGGTATGTTATGGTATTGCAGATATACACACCTTTACTTTGTCTGAAGGGGGAAATTTAAACAAGGTACAAGTTTCTTTTAAGAGATTCTGTTAACCTGTAGTTATGCCCCCCTCCCCACCTTCAGGTCACCTTGAGAATGCCAGTCTCCATGAGTATGCCAAGTACTGTCTGCGCACCATCTGTCAGCAGGAGTGGGTACAGGAGCGATGTCTGCACGACCCAGAGGGGCTCTGTACAGCAGAACTCCTGCTGGACCCCATGCTGTCACAGCAACAGGTACAGCAGCTATATAGTACAGTTAGGTACAGCTGTATAGTACGCTCATTTATACAGTACTGCAATACTGTACAGCCACATAGTATAGCCATAGTACATGTATAGTACAGAAATATGGTACAACCATACATTACTGTATATCCAAATGGTATAGCCATACAGTACAGCCATACAGTACAGCCATACTGTATAGCTATATGGTACAGCCATACGGTATAGCTATATGGTACAACCATACAGTACAGCCATGTAGTAAAGCCATACAGTATAGCCATACAGTATAGCCATACAGTACAGCCATGATGCACTACAGTACAATATAGTGTAGCCATACATGTATGTGATATACATGTAGTTCAGCCATACAGACTATGATATAAGATTTTAATAATTGTCATATTTCTCCCCATAGGCCCAGAACCTGCTGCAGTTGATCTGTTACCCAGAAGGCATGCCAGGACTGCTGGATGATGATGACAGTGGTGATAAACAAAAACAAGTCATCAGTCAAATTCTACAGGTATTACCTGTGGCTACCGGTATATATTAATTCTTGAATAATATCCTGCATGATTAAAATGAATTCCGAAAACCAAAATTAGTGCAAACTATAGAATAATATTGTTCTCAAATGATATGATTGTTTTCTTGTGACTCTCCCTGTAGCGGCTTGACAAGTGGTGGCTGCGTGTGTCCTGGCTGGAACTTCAGGTCATGATAAAACAGTGTCCGCCTTCGGTAGGTTCTTTCATACAGTGAAAAAAATCATTTAAATCTAATCAATCTGAATGAATTTTTGATATAAGAGACTCAGTCTGAGTTTTCTACTTTTTTACGTAAAAGATTGATGACTTGGAAGTGCTCATACTTCAGTAAAGTGCCTTGAAAGTTTCATCTGGCTTGCTCCAAATCTATTTCAACTAAACTGTTTTATATTTTAGGAGATGAACAGTTTACTTGATAAGATAGCCCACTGCACCATCGAAGTGTTCCAACGCCAGACAACACAAGGAGACAAGGGAGAGGCCAAGTAAGCAACTTGATAACCTTTTAATTAGATCATTTCCTTTGTAGATAATTAGGTACTAATTAGGTTTTTCATCTCCTCAATAAATAGTTGTCAGAGAGTCATAGTCTGTTCATACCTTGAACTCTCTGCTCTGCAAGTTACTGCACATCCCCCCTTCTCCCCCTCTACCGTAACACAGAATAACGATAGACTTATCATCTCATCTGTAGGGAGGATGTGGAGTGGCACAACAGCTGGCTGGTGGCCCCCCTGATCTCCAAGATGCCCAGCTCGGTGCAGGGGCGGGTGCTGCGTGCAGCTGGCCAGGTGCTGGAGAGCGGCAACAGCTGCTTTGCCAGGTCCAAGGCTGACAGGGAACGCCAAGCTCAGAAAACGTACGTAACTACATGTACATGCAGTACATGTACACAAGCTCAGAAAATGTACGTATCTGGTAGATTGACGTTTTTAGATTCTTGGAAATGTTTTTGATTTTTTGAATGTTGAGGGGGTGATAAATCGATTCAATCAAAATTGTTGACAGCAAGTCGAGAATGATATAAAATGTAACGTTATATGAACATGGTGTGCAAGGAAAACATTAATGAACAGCAATGATTTCCTACATTCATAATCTGAAACAGCTTGCTGTATATTTATTCATAGATTACGTGGACTTGTACATTTGCTGACAGCTGGGATGCTGTTTCCTTGGCTGTCTCAGTAATCTGCTTTTCCACCCGACCTTTTGTCTTGAACAGCACAGCATCATGCTGTCCTGTGCAATGATTATATTTCAGCTGACTGCTGTTGTTGTTTTGTAGGCTGTCTCTGTTGAACCAGCAGCCCTTCCTGTCCGTGGTGCTGACCTGTCTGAAAGGACAGGATGAACAGCGTGAGGGTCTGCTGTCCTCCCTACAGACACAGCTGACACAGCTGCTGCAGGCCAAAGAAAAGGATGTGAGTACAGCCACTGCTGTGACAGAAATGAGCATAGATTAGATTCAGTTAGATTATACACCAGTTTCAATTAGACATAAGCATGTATATAGTGTTATTAAGCATTTTCTTAGACTGTATGTTTTTCTCTCCTGGCCATCTTTACAGGAACACTTCTTTGAGGATGTGAAAAACAAGAAGATGTTGGAGGAATCCTTACAATTAAGACTAAGCCTGGTAAGTACATCGTATGTGATAGATAATCCAAACAATAGGAGTACTAGTCTTTATACTACAAAATGTTGTACCATTTTTATATGTTACAGTCTCTTCATACACATCACGATCTATTTGGATTGTTGCTAATAAAATGACGTAATTTCTGTTTTATTTGTGTGCAGTTGGGTGGAATGTTTGACACAGTTCAGCGCAGCACCCAGCTGACTACAGACTGGGCCTTGTTACTGCTGCAGCTCATCAGCTCAGGGACTGTGGACCCACAGAACAACAGGTACACTTTCATTCATGCTCTCTGGCTAGCATTTTAACCAGTCCTACATTTAAAATTTCCATCACTTTTCAACCATGAAACCAACCAGCTATCAAAGACTTTTCCATTACACAAAGGAAAAGTAAACTTGACAAACTAGAAAGGGAACATTTGCAAAGCAAAATGCATAATGTTTACCTTTGCATATGGTCTGCTCTTTTAATTCTTACTCAAACACATATACATGTATATGGTCAGACAAGAGTCTAAATCCCTCCTGCTATAATATTGCAACATTATGTAACCCAACACTAGTTGCCATGGAAGCAGTCTGGTTCAGGTCATTGACCTTTTTGGTTTGGAGAAGAAGAGGAAATGTACAAAAACAATATGTTTTCCTTCAGTAAACATAATTACTTGTCTTCAGAAACAAGCATAACATTACATGTACTATTTCATTCATGCACATCTTTGTTTGTTTGTTTGTTTGTTTTTGTAGTGCCCTGTTTACCACAGTGCTGGACATGCTGTGTGTACTACTGAGTAGCACCATGGCGTCAGAGTCACGGGACAGTAGTCCTAGCACTGGGGATGAGAGAAGAATATACATCAACCTTATCAAGAAACTCAAGGTATGTCGGTTCATTACAAACCTCCAAGGTATCCAGAGTTACAGAATATTTTTGCAATAGTATTGCAAGAAAAGGGCATGTCATTCTTCAGAAATAGCCAAAACCTAGCTGTTTTCATACATATTCTACTACAGAGTAAAGAGACTCTTTTCACACAATCAAATCTTTTATTCAGCCAACATTTTGGTGACCGTCTGTCACCTTCCTTTTGGGCAATTCTGACTGGTTCACATTGCACTGCAGCACAGGTGTCGCTGCTATAGATGCAATGTGAACCAGTCAGAACTACCCTGAGGAAGGTGACAGACGGTCACCGAAAGGTCGGCTGAATAAAAGACATAGAATGATAGTTGTGTAAAAAGAGTCTCTTTACTCAGTGACTTACCAACCTGATAAAACTATTCACGGATATTCTACTACAGATGTTGTTTCTTTTTTCTTACAGAAAGAGCTTGGTGACAAACACTCCCCAGGAGTGGACAAAGTGAGACAGCTGCTGCCACTGTCTAAACAGTTTACTGATGTCATCACCTGTGAGCCAATGGGAAGCCTCATAGACACAAAAGGCAACAAGATTGCTGACTTCGACTCCATTGACAAGAAGCAGGTACTGTGTTATCTTCCTCTGTATCGATATGTTACAGGGCTGCTTATTGGCTAACAGCCAGCCAATGAGGAATGGAGGACTGTAAGGTTTCTCAGAGGGTTGTTCATTGGATTTGGATGACCACCAACCAATCAGGATCAGAGTTGTTTTGAAAGTTGTTTGTCTAGAAGATACTAGAGTGGCTTGAAAGTTAATCTTGTTGTTGCCATTCTGAAACAGGTGTAAACTGTTATTTCGAACAAAAAAATCTATTTTTTGCTCCATGTCAGGGACTCCAAGTTGCCAGCAAACAGAAGGTTTCAGGATGGGACCTTCTGGAGGGACACAAGAACCCTGGTCCCCTGTCCTGGTCCTGGTTTGGAGCGGTCCGTATGGAGAGGAAACCTCTGCTGTATGAAGAGCAGCACCGACTGCTGCTGCACCACACTCACACCAGGAAGAAACCCATGGAGTACTACCTGGAGCCTCCACCACTCCCCCCGGTGGAGGAGGAGGAAACTGCAGCTCCTGCTCAAGTAAGTTTTGTGTATGGTACTGAGAGTAATGGTTAAACTTGAGAGTTAACTTGAGAGAAAGTTTTTTTTGTGTGTTGGATCAAAGTTAAACTCTATGGCTATGGATTTTACCAACACAGATGAGCTTTCATTTGAGTACTGTGAGTAGCATTTTTGAATTAGTGATGTAATAAGTCTTATCATATGTTCAAAATGACATACTGATTTTTCGTAAAGTTTAAACAGTATGTACATTTTGAATTACATTATTGAATGTAAATTGTTAACCCTTGTAGGACCAAGGGAAGCAGACACCAGACCCGATCAAGCAGCCGGAGCCCAAGCCGGCTCAGACGCCCAAGAAAGCCAAAGCAGCAGCGGCCAGGAAACGGAGACAGTCCAAGGCTGTCAACCAGTCCAACAGAGACCAGGTCTGTTCACACACCTGTCATGTACTGTAAACCATGAGGGGCCAGGTCTCAGTAGGGGCCAGGCACACCTGTACCTATCACAGTAATTCAAAAGGGGAAGACAGATTGTCATCCAAGTCACCATTTCAGCTACTTCAATGAAAACCAATCCATGCTGCTCTATTCTACACACTCACTCATTTTTTTTCTTGTCATAATACCATACTACTGTTACAGTACAACACTGCACATATACTATACCCTTAGACTGTTAGAGGGTCTATGAATCACTCTTAGACCCCATTGTCAATGCCAGAGACTCTTTGCTCAAAGTGCGCTTGGGAGATACCAACTAGAGCCTACATGTAGGTGGTCAAGCTCACTTCACCTACTGTCATACCCTGTCTTGCTGACAACCAAGGGAATGCAGAAGACAATACAATATACTACAGTACTGCACAACCTTGCACCTACTGCACTATATTGTAGTCATTGTTTCTATCAACACAATGTCTTAACATCATCATACTTACTACTACTTTTATCCTCCTTTAACTTTACTGCAGTCTTGTAGGATTTCTCGCCTCTCCCAGGCAAGTATACCTGAATAGATGTGAAGTGAACAAAGATGGTCGTTTAAGATCTTGATATTTTGAAGGAGTATCAGATATATGTCTGACACAATTGATAATCTGTTGAAGATAGCTGTCTTATTAACTAATATGTAACTTCATTTGAAAACTTTTTGTAGAAGTGTAATCTAGAAATATTACTATGATTGCTAGGGTAAGAAACTTTTTGTGTGAATTTCATGCATCTTTCCTACCTACCACAGAGCCATACGAGCACCTTAATGAACCAGATCCCACCGTATGGGGAGCAGCAGCACATGATGCAGCCTAACTACTATCTCCAACCCAACCCTCACCCGTCTTATGGGTATCAACAGCCACTACCACCAGGTATGTTTGATTTTGTTAACCAAAGAAACAGATGTTTTTCCCGTTTCCTACTGCAAATCAATAAGGTCAGTGACCTGAACCAGATGTCTGTCTCCATGGTAACCAATGTCGGGTTACATCATGTTGCAATTTTATAGCAGGAGGGATTTAGAGTTTGCTCAGTACAAAGCCACAAGGGCCACTTCTGGGCACTGAACTAACAACGCTCACTGCAGCAGCATCTCTCCTTAAGTCAGAAACATCAGGCAATAAGACGTTAATGATCTTTCGTAGTCAATGTTTCATTGTATCTACTTCTAAGAAAGATTATGGTTTGGTATGAATAAGTTTCCACTTTGTTGTTATTTTTTAGGAGGTCCGAGAATGGAGCAAAGGCCCATGGGAATGATCAACCCAAAGGCGGCGTTGAGTTCGATGTTGCGGGCGCGACAACCCGGGAACCACCCGGTCAACAACCAACAGTTACAGCTGCAACGGTACGTACATGTAAAACCCTCTGAAGCACTTGTTCATTACAGGAGCTTTCTTTGGTGCTGAATAGCATTCACACTAAACCTACTCTTTCTTGTGTTGAAATAGGAAGGTAGAGCTTTTGACCAGTCACTCTGGTCTTCCACAGTAGACTGACCCAGTGAGATTTGTCACGTGGCTTCTTTGAAGTGTGACATCATTACTGGGTCAACGGTATCTGGTAGATGATGTCGGCCCCTGTCGGGGTTGAGTGAAGGGTGATGGACCCTGATGTAAATAGCCATTTGTGTAGGATCAAACATTTTTGAATGTAACTACCAACACAGATTAACTTTCATGATTGACTGTTTGCTTGTTTGTTTAATTGATTGGTGGATCACTTGTCCCACAGGTGGCGTAACCAGCACCTGCGGCAGCGTCTGCAGGCACCTGCGCAGCAGAACCTGCAGCCAGGTGGCCAGGCAGGTGGCTCACAGCCGCCCATGTACTCTCCGTACGACAAACAGCCATCTCTCCACCACCTGCCGCAGCAGCAGGTACACAACCAACAGTCACAAAGAAAACCGGTTTGTTTTTGTTTTTTTATTTGAGTTTCTTTGCTTTTCTACTTTTTCTCATTTTAAGTCAATTATGTTTCCTTATTTGTGGATCTAAAGACTGAAAGTTACATTTAGATTATAATTAGAAAAGATTGTTAATTTAAAAAATTTATGTGAAAGATTTTGATCAGTGAGCAAAATACTTCTGATATTGATATATGCCTCTGACTTTTTTAAAAGGACAGCTCATCTTGCATGATGTGGCCTTCCTCTTTGTAGAAATGATTTAAATCCACCAACTGTACAGTTTTTTATTACTTTCAATTTTTTTCCAGGTTTTACTTTGTATTTTATTCACACGGTTGGAATTAGCTTGGTCAAATCTGTACGGAAACTTGCTTGTGAAAATAACAAGGACAAGTTCTCTTGTTCCCTTCTGATGTCTTTGTATGAGGGAGCTTCAGCCAAAACCTCAAGCACTAAACACCTGCACGTACATGAACCTAACACATTATTGAGAAGAGTAGGAGTGGCCCGTGTGCTTGGCTGTAGCAAAGCTGCACTGCACAATAAGTTACTTGAAAAAGCATAATGCTTCACCTCAGATGAGAATGAACTTTACCCTTTACATTGTACCTCTGATGTTGCAGGGTTACGGAGGGTACAGTGCCCAGCATCAGCAGATGTCCCAGGGGGTGATGCCGGCCCCCCACCCCGAGCCAGCGGGCAGCAGCATGATCTCCCCTCCCTACAGCACCAGCTACAGCACCAGCCAGTCCGCAGGCATGATGGGCAACATGGCCGTCTCGCAGCAGAACCAGTACATGGCACAGGGAACAGGACCCTCCATGACTCAGCCCACGCATCAGGCCATGAGCATGGGGCAGCCTGGAAGGTTGGTGCTCCTTTTGTGGGAGGGAGATGGAGTGAAATGTGCTCTATTTGCTTGCAAATGTTTGCCTCTCTAGTTAAGTACAACTGAATGTAATTTTCAGTGGCCTTTCATACTATGCTGATTTGTGCAAGATATTAAGGAGGGAGATGGAGTGAAATATGCTGTTACGTATTACTCTCAAATGTTGGCCTCTCTCCCAGGTAAAATGTTATTTTCAGTAGCCTTTTATACTATGCTTTTTGTTTAAGATATTACAACCTTTGTCGAATACACGTTTTCATACAGGAATACGATGGGTGGTGGAGGCCCCATGATGTCTACTGACCCCATGCAGCAGGCAAACATGTACCCAGCACAGCAGCAACAACAGCAGCAAGCACAGCAACAGGCACAGCAGCAGGCGCAGCAGGCACGGCAGAGACAGCTTCAGCAGCAGCTGCAACAGGCGCAGCAGCAACAGCAGCAGCAGCAGATGCAGCAGAGCCTGATGCAGCAGAGTGTCATGGGAGTGCAGAGGACAGCGCAACAGCAACAGACAGCTGCTCTGGTACAGCACCTCCAGAGACAGCTGTCTGGGAACCAGACAGCACCAGTACCGCCTCCGCAACAGCCTGCCAGACAGCACCAGCAATTCCCTTCTGGACACCAGTATTAGACAGCATTGTACAGGGTACAGCACACTGTTAAGGAGAAAAAAGCTGCACTGGAAGAGCACACAACATAGCTGGCCTAAGCATGGTGCTTGTATGTAGTTGCAAAAAGGGAGCTGATAGTGCATGCAATAGTCTGTAACAAGAACTTGTACTGTGCAACACACAATATAGGCAACGACTTGTCTTACCCTGTCAGAGGGACCAATCTGAAATGTTGGAGTGAGTAAAATGACAGTTTACTAAGACTTAAGAACTGGGCAGTACAGTCACACAATGTATACTCTACTGTTGTGGATTCAGTGCATCACTGATAAATGTTAATGTTAACACTTGGAACAGGGATCAGCTTGAACTTGTTTTTGGTCAATTTATTTTGGCAGATTTGTGCTGTATTTTCCTCTACTTTATTTTTGCTCTTTGAAGTTGCAGCAAGAACTGTCATTCTGTGTTCTGAATATTTTGTCTCTGTTGCTCTGTTATATTGTCCTAACTGTACATTTTTAGGTACATGTAATGGAATATCTGCTATCTCTTTATCAACTACGAAATATCAGTGGAAATGGTTAGTATGATTAGGCCCACTGGAGGAACAAGATGCAAGACATTTTGCACTGCTACTGAAATGCAGACTCAGTTTTCATTTTTTTTTTTAACAAAGTAGTTTTCCAGTCCACTGTATCAATGCTCACTACTGAATTTTAACAGTTTCAGCCAATTAAGTTGTTGCTACATTGTTTATGAAGGATCACCATACAGGGCAAGACATGGATGGAATGTGTGTTCAGGACTAACGTCCTCTGGTTGATCGAAAATGAGGAATTTTAATTGTCATTCAACAAGTCGTATGATAAACCTGCTTTATAAAATGCATATCACGCATAGCATACGGTTTCACCAATGAATGAAGTCAGCTACAGTGTTTGTATTATGCTCATTTTTAACTTAAAAAGTGATGTAACTTATGTTGTACATATATCTATTACAGTATCATACTCTTGTACATAGAAGTATAGAGATGCCTGGCTTATATGGCACAATAAACCATTCCTGTCCAAATGTCGGCTGAAGAATTTTCCTGGTTGACTATTCTTGCATATGAATAAAACTATAGGTGTTATGATTGAAACCTTTGAAAATAACAATAAGCATACACTGTTGACTTGTAGACTTTGTTTTATTCAACCCAATTTAATTTACAAGGAAACCAGGTTTCTACTATCAAGATACTTGTACATGTATCCTGATAAGTGAAAGACAATGTTGAACTAACTCCCCAATATTTAATAAACCTAACCTAGAATTTCCATTCGAATGCTGTGATTAAATGAGCACAAATACAACTGGGCCAGCTATTGTCTACATACAATACTGTGAAATTAAATGTAACCCTTCTGTTTATATTGACATTCAGAAAATACAAGAGTGAAGTCTGTGGTTTTTGTAAGAAAAATGGTCTGATAATATTCCCTGTGACCCTTCAAATATGGTTTCTTCATACATAGTTACGTATTACGAACATAGCAAGAGATATATCTATTATCACAAATAGGCCATGTTTGGGCCACAACATGTCATGCCCCCTAGAGGAAGGAATCGGTACTGCAGTGATGACAACCCAAGTACAGTACTAAGAAGTTGTGAACCAGTACATGACAGTAGTAGTATTTGCAGTCCTACAGATGCCAGCTCAGTCCTCGGTGTACTGGAAAGGCTCAGGCGGTGGTGGCTCTGGTTCCTCGTCTTCAGCCTTTGGTCCACCGGCTACGAAAACAAGAAACATAAAATTGGTTAATTTAACATTCCACATACATTTAGACCATATCTCAATACTTTGACACAGCCAGTAGTGAAACATGAACACACTTAGCATATGTACATGTACTTCTACATGCACATGGCCTGATCACCATGTAGTTGTATCATGTTCAGAATGCACCCTTAAAAGGTAAATCAAATGGTCTTAGGCAGACTACTGGAAAATAGAGCCCATTCCTCTCTTTCCATTACAATCTTCCTCCCAACCCGAAGTCAGTTGCCCATTTTACACCTGGGTGGAGTGAAGTCACGTAAAGTCCTTTTCCACAGGACACAGAGTCTAAGTTCTCTAACCAGGAATTGAACCTATATGGCCTCATGGTCCCGTGTCTGCTAGCCTAACCACTAAGCTACAGCAGAACTAAATCTCCTTACATTTTGCATTGCTTTCTTTTAATTATTTTCTTTTAACTATTAATCAATAGTAAATAAATCAATCTCCTAGCAGTTTGAAGTGTCCACGTACTTGGCAGGGTCTCTACTATCTCCTCTGGTTCTCCCTTTGTCTGGTCCTTACACAGGATGATCCCACCAGTGGTGACAGGCTTCAGGGGGTGGTACCTTCCCGACATACAGGACAGCACCTTCAACTGGGAATAATAAATGTGTTTCAGTTAACAATAGATATGCTTACATCGGGTAGTTGTTTCTCTTATGTAGGTGAAACATTCATATTGAAATTTTGGACAATCATGTAAATTCTAGGACTTTACAACTCCATCAATTTAAAGCCTCCATCACTAAAGTAAAGTGCTGATATTGATCTAGTACAGACCTGTGCAGGCAAGGCTCTTGCAGGGTTTTGCAGTACACTGAAGCTGGCCTCCTCCTTGGGTTCTTTGGTGTCCTTACTGTCCTTTTCTGCTTCCTCTTTTGTCTTCTCGTCCTTTGTTGTTTCCTCTTTTGTTTTCTCCTCTTTAGCTTTCTCCTCCTTACCCTTCTCTGAATCTTCATCCTTCTTTTCTACCTCATCCTAGGAGCAACAAGGGGGGTGTTTAAAAAATACCCATGGCAACATGGACAGTTCAACAGACAAACTGATATTCAGTTAGACAAGAATGGACCACACAAAACATTTCTACACATTTCTGTTTGTGCTTTGGTAGAATTGTACACTATTTTTAGCAGCAGGTATAGAATTTCAAATATGTTTTGTAGAACTTAAAATTGTTTGTTAGCTATTTCTTAAAAAAAGAAATGAATCAAGGCTTCCAGAAGGAACGAGTCCATGACATCTCTTAGTCAGCTGTACGGAGAATTTATCTCCAATCAGTTATGGCACAAAGTGTTTTAGGACGTTTTCTCACCACTTCCATCTTCTCAGTGTCCTGGTCGCCCTTCTTGCTCTTGCTGCGAGCCTTGGCCTTGGCCGTGATTGACAGAACGGCCGTGGACACCTTCTCCTTTTCCTTCTCCTTCGGCGGCTCCAGTAACGGCGGGTACGCAAACATGGAGGACTTCGCGTTGGACTTAAACTCCACCTTTGGCATCTACAGGAAGTAGTATACGATGTGCATGAGAACACGTGTTCAAGAGGAGGCACAACAAACACACATATAAGGACCTACCTTTCGTAGCTTTTACAGGTTGACATTGACATTTACCAATAGTATAGTGGAAAACATGCCAATCCTTGACCAAACTGATTTTTTTTTAAATTCATAGTTATAAGTTTGTGCACAGAACTACAAATTCTTTCTTTCTTTATTGCAATGGCATTATGTGTGGAGCACTAGGCAGCAAATTCAGCAACAACAATTTAATACAGGTGAAAATTACATGAAATACACATTAAATAGCTGTACAATTTAAACAGTGGCATTATGGAAAACTACAGCCTAAATGGTCAATGGTCAAAAATGCTTTTTCCTTACTCGCTTAAATTCTAGACTGAACATACCTGGAGTTCTGCGTTGAGTGCGATCATGGCGGTCGGTGTGAAGGCCAGGGACAGGAAGTGGGAGAGAGGGTACCAGAACCAGAACTGTGTGAACACCAACATCCCCACAACGGACTCCATGTGTGTGTGGCCATTACGGGTCTGTAGACTGATGGTCACATTCCGGCCGCCTGAAATAAATATCAAAGTATTCACACATTTAGGCAAGTGTAACCACCATTGTTTATCAGATGTATTACTACTGTAACAGTAACTGTGTTTGGTGAGGGAAAAGGTATTCTGATGCCTAAAATAAAAATCATCAAGTCTTATTCTTCCCTACTGTTCCTATTGTCAAGTTTAGTGAGGGAAAAGATATTCTGTCTGTTATAGAAAAGTTTTACATCTTTACAAAATTTTTCAACCAACCTGAAATAGGCCGCCAGAATTGGCAAATACAGAAAAATGTCGTACAGAATACACGGAGAGTAAAATCACAGTCTTGAGGGTCTTAGTTTGGTACTTCTGTCAGTGAACATGGACAATAAAACCGTTTAAAACACATGAGTAAATCTGAAGTATTTGCACCACTGAAATGTTCTGTACCTGCATCAATGATGCCCTGAGCAAGGATCGCCCCAAACTTGGCGATGACATCATCATGCTTGTCGTTGATGACTTTTGTGTACAGCTCTCGGAATGTCTTCACCTGGTTAGAGAAAAACGAAAAACAATTAGAAAACAGAAATAAAGAAAAGGAATGATTGATTCAATGCTTTTTACTAGTTTTAGTATCATAGCTCCTACACATACACACAATATTTTTCTTGAATGACTTCTAGTCAAGTTCTACAAAAATGTACTAAGTAGTAGATTTGTTTTAGCTATTCAGCCCCAAAATAGAAGCCATTGCAATATGAATTTGGCTAAAATGATTTTTTTTTTCTACAGCTGCTGTACAACTGAACTTCAGGCACATGGTCTCTACCATATTGAGAAAATGTTTTGAAATTATTGTATAAATATTTCTGTACCAAGCAGTGCAACATGTCAACCCAGAGTTGGAAGAGTTTTGCTGAAATGATTTAACAGCTACAGTAGGATAAGACAAATGTTAGAAAGACTTGTACAACTTTGGTATTCAATATTGCACCTTGAAAAGGTGTCAATACACCTGTTTTGTCCTCCCTTTAAGTTGTATATTAATTTGTAAATTCAAATAAACAAACAACTGACCTTTGGACACATGGCCTCTGTCTGCTGCACCAGGATGAGGGCAGATGCGATCATGGCGCCCTGACGGACGTAGTTCACCGGATCGTTGGTCATGGGTTCAATCAGCGCTACTGCTTCCTGTTTGTATGACACACGAAAAATAAAACTCAGCATGTACATGATCTGTTTTCACACACTTCAACTGTGAAATTTCACCACAATTTTACTGGCTTCTCATGAACTAATACTAGATGGTATTTGGTCTGTGTGGTACAAACTGTTAGTCACATAATAGTGGGTGAAAAGTTAAACTGAGAACCAGGTTGCACCAGTAGGGAACCTCTCACCTTGTTCCCAGTTCCAGCACATGCGACTCCCAGTGCCATGGCAGCACCGTACCGTACATGTGGGTTGTAGCTCTCAGACAGTAGCGACACCACGCTGGGACACTGTTCAGGGGTTCTGTAGGGCAAACCAAAGGAGTGATTTGAAAAAAAAAATTTACAAACACAGAATTAAGTTTTGTAACTCCACACAATGTCACTACATGTATAAAGAAAATACACTACTGAATTTTATGTAAATGTATTGCAAATTAACCTTTAGCACACTGAAATAGCTGTTTGGTTACCATACTGTATTGGTTACAGTGTTAGGTAGCAGGAAGGTTAAAAGTTGAGGTACGCACCTGAAGAGGATAAATCCGATGGCCTCGACAGCTGCCCTGCGTACGTCATCATTCACGTCACTGACGGCCACGTGCAGGAGTTTGCGGATGGCCTGGTTACTCCCGCTGCCACAGTATGCCATTGCGATGGTGTACATGCCTGATCTGCGCAGGATTGGGTCCTAAATAGACAGGCAAGATGTATGATAATGACTATCCTACATTAATCAATAACATGCATATTATTCATGTGAACTCAAGTCTAACATACATGTACATGTAAACAAAACTCTGGGCAAATATTGTCTGTGTGCTCGATGGTTTAAGACAGAATCTAAAAGGTGTCTATAGGAAATAAAAAATAAAGGTCCTGTTCCACTCTGTGCAGAGCATAGGGGTGGTGCCCATCTCCATTTCTGTAGCCCTTGGGCCACACAGTTGTGCAAGCACTACAGCAAGGGGCTAGCTGGCTGGTAGTGTTGTGTCCTTGACCTTCCCATACTCTATCTCATAGATGCTTAGTGCTAAGCTTTAAAACTTTTAAAACTCTTTGGTATAACCCAGCCGAGGTTAGAACTCACAACCTCTTGGTTACAAAGCAAGCACTCTACCAGATTAAGCAAAACTTTAATTCTTATTGAAGATGCAACGGAGGGTGTTATATGCCGTGTACCTTGTCTCTTGACAGACTCTCGATCAGTGTGTCTGCCTCCTCCAGTCTGCCGTACATACAGAGAGCGATCCCGATGGCCAGACCTCGCAGGATCTTCTCGTGCTGTGTCTCCTGTGCATACGCCACCATATCTTCTATAGCCTGGGCAGACTTGGTCCCGACCATGACCAGACCCATAGCAATGCCTGCTGCCTCTCCTAAACATCATGAAAAAACACAGTTTGTCTTCAACTGTTTAGCTTCACATTACTTTCTAAGTAAAAATTTTTACTTGAAATACATGTCTACTTGAAATACATGTGATAACTCAAGAAGAACCCTAGTAATGCATCATACATGTACATACATGTACATACATGTACATACATGTACATTGTAGATTCTTTCTGTTGTCTTTTGGGAGTCTGATTTTCAACTAAACGTCACAAGTAACTATGTTTACCTGTGACAGCATCATCTTGGTACAGATTGAATTTCAGCTGTTCATATACATCTGGAACAAAATAAAAACAACATGATTACATTACAGGCTAACAATGGCAGTATTACAAATATTCAAGAAACCAACAGAAAAGGCACATTTCTGCATCTAACCACTAAACTTCATCAATCTCCACCTTGTCTGGCTGTTCCCATGGCTGCAAGTCCAAGACCAAGTCCAGCTCCATGTCGGACCATCTGTGAAGAAATGTTGGAACTTGTTAACAGTTGGATGGATGTTACACAAGACTGCTAAGAACTGTCCTCAACATCCACTGGACGCAACACATCACACACAGGGACGTGTATGCTGGACTATCAAAACTGTATGACAAAAAGGCTGAATGTCTTAGGAGCAAGGGAAAAATTTGTAGTACCTCTGTGGTGGCTTCCTTGACTTGGTTGAGGAGATAGTCAATCATGGTGCCTCCATGGTTCGCATGGATCAAACCTACAGTAAGAAAGAGGCATTAGATACTGGGTTTCTGTTGAGTACAGAAACTGTAACTTCTCATAGGTCAAGTGCAATGACTGAATGAATGTTGAGTGAATGTAACAGAAACTGTTGATACCTTACCTAGAGCATACAGCCCCCCTCCCTCAGAGTAGGCACTGCCAGGTCCTGTGTCCTTAGGTAGGTATGTAGACATCAGGTGTAAGGCTTCCTTCTCATGGCCCTATTAACACAGAGAAAGTTCTTTAAACAAATAAATTCACCAATATGAAATACAACTAATGGTTTCTTCATCGAAAACATTTTCTTACAAGGTCTTAAATATTAAGTTTTTATTTAGTTAAAGCTATATTATGTAGAATTTTAACTATTTTAAACATCTTTATTTTAAACATTTTCTTGCTCTGTAAGCCTACCTGGGTTCATAATGACATTTAGGGATCAAAAGATAAACGTCGTTACGCCGCAAAAACGTGTTGGAAAACTGCGCACTTCTCGGCGCTAGCACGGATCGGGGCCATGTTTGTTTACATCCGACCGCGTCCGAGCATTCCCAAATCCAGCCGAACCGCAGGTCACCGTAGAACACGTTATTCTCTAAAATACGGCATATGCCAGGTCACGATTTGACAACTGTCAATAGTGCAACAAAAACACCTTAGACATACGTAACGTTTATACTTTTTCATATCTACAGGATTTGCCTAGTACAACAATGTAGATATTTCGTGCATTTCAAAATGGCACCGATCGTAATAGCCTTCCAAACATTAGCATTTTTGGTCAGTTTATCTGTGCTTATCTTTTTTTACTGGCCAACTGGATCCCATTAGCTAATACCACAGTGTGATAGCCCACATCTTCACCTTTACATCGATACCAAAGTCCCCTGGTTAGTTTTAGGACAAACGGGTTTGCCCCAAAGAAAACCGCGACGGTGCACACATCGCGGTGACGAAATTTTAGCCCAGTTGTAGCTACCGGCGCACACCATTCTGAGTTTCCGCAACATTTTGATACATTTAGCGTAATGTCATAAACTTCGTTCCTTGGTATGAGAAACTGTATGAATGTGGTTACCACATGCAATATGATAAGTGACATGATAACTTTCAAGTATATACAAAAAGAGGATTTTAGATTAGGTACTGACCCTTCAAAAATTGGCAAATTTGAAGTCAATCGGCTTCGAACTCCAGCGTTCGAAAGCGTTCGAACCATGGAACCCAGACACGCGCCGGAAGTTGCCGAAGATTTCCGAACGAAAACCGTTGTTTGTTTACATTCTATTTATTGTGGCACAAATAAATACGTCTGGCCTTGCGCACCTTATTCTCGCGCTGCGCTGAGTTGCCAAAAGGCGAAATAGCGACGCTAATATGTTGAAAGTTATCGAAAATGACAATCTAGATGAGAAAATTTCAATTATTTGTATTTTCAGTTTTGGCGCGAAAATCCTACATAATATCACCTTAACTGTAATCTGCAAGGTTAATTTCTTTTGTATTCATATTTCAATGTATTACTGCTACATGTAAGTTTATTGCAATGCATTAGTATATACATGTTGAAGGTTCTTACCCTATGGATGACTCCCAGACTTGCAGTTGCTGTAAATCGGGCCCAGTTGGTAGCACGAGCTAGCCACTCTAGGTTGTCCCTGGTAAGATATGATTCAAACAAATCTTAGACAAAAACAAAATCTTTATATATACTTTATTTCTTTCTTCAAATTACATACAAATTGCAAGCATCTACTTTGCTACTTTTAATGCCTAACTACAGTAGATTTTCCATGGCAAAGTTTAACTTCCATGTATCAATCCTAGTAAATTTCACAACTTAAAGTTTAAGAAAAGCGTAAGAAAGGCAAGCCTGGACCCCATTGCCTATCCTACCTGAGGAACTGGTCACTGGTTGTCCCACAGTACATGAAGGAGTTACAAATGACAGTCGCTGTGTGGCACACCGAGTTTCTCACAGCATCCTAGAGAAAACATTCATTTCACAGTGTTATAATTTCACAATATCATCTAATGGAAAGCAGCATCCACATTGTTTAGAGACACATTTGAAGTTGTGCTTAATACACATTTAGAAGACTGTAGTGACTTTACTACATGTAGCTGGTCTGTTTTCCAACAATATATCCTAAAGATCTGCAACAAGGTTTTTGGCAACACCCCAGGAGTGGTGCCGTTACCTTGGTGTTTTTGAGGATGAGCATGTCTGTATGGTTGTTATGAGCGGTGCCCTTACCTTGGTGTTTTTGAGGATGAGCATGTCTGTGTGGTTGTTACGAATCAGGAACTGGAGGTGGATTGCGATGGACGTCTCTCCTCCCAGAATGCCTAGCAGCTTGGTCAACCGATCCACATGTTTTTTCTCCTCTTCACTCTGAAGACACAAGTCAGCACAAGACTTTAGAATACAGAAATTGTATTCACTAAGCAGTAGGCCTGCTGTAAAAAATACTTAGTACATTCATACACAGTTCAGAGTCTTTTACCAAAGATTTTTTTTCTTTCTTTTTACTTTTAATCCACAAATATCCTGTAAATTCAATGAAATTGATGTTTGAATCCTGGTTTCTTGCTGCAAGAAGTAATTTCAACATTGAGATTAGGTTTTTCAAACAAAAAGAGTTTTCATGCTAGCAGGTAAGTTAAAGCTATTTTTGATCTTACCAGGTCTGAGTACTTAGTAGAAGTGTCTGGGGGAGGCACACTCGCTGGTTTCTCCTGTTCTTCACTGGCCTGGCTCTCTGCATCCCTACATGAAACATGGTACAGTCCATCATTTATACTGAGGACTAAAGCTCTTTGTGAGAACATTCCCTTAGGTGTTGGAACAAAAGTTTTACCGTTAAGCATGTGACTACCAACACAGATGAACTTTCATGACAACATTATACACCATGGTTTAACTAGTGTTATATATAAAATATAAAACTACTACAAAAGTACTAGTGTCATGATTTACAGTACCATATCCAAGTAAATTCAACTATTTTGGACCTCTTTCTGCTTTTATGCAAGCAACTCAAGTACAGAAATATAATGTATTGAGTGCAAGTTGTGAACTTACTTGGAAACAGGTGCAGCAGGTGCTGATCCAGGTGGCTGTACAGCTGCAGGTGCGTTGGGGAGGGGGATGGGGCTGACGGCGCGCAGGGCGTACATGACCCTGGACAGGTACTGCTGCGTGGCGCTCTCGTACAGGTCAAACCCAATCTGGTACGCCATCAGTGTCTGGTCCTAGAGAACCATTTTACATTTAAAAAAACTTGCTCACTAGCAATACATCTTATCCTATCTAAATTTTGAAATGCAGCATCTAACATTCATCATATATGCTAAAATTCTTTTAAAAACTAGTTTTCCCATGACAATATGTACTAGGTACTTGGATGGGACTAGTAAAATCATTCTTTAGTCAAAAGAAAAAAGTAACATTAACCCCAGGTCATTAACATTGGTTCGGTTGAAAATGCTGGTGAGTCAATTTTCCTGAGTTGGAGAACAGTTCAACTCCCATTACAATTGTGTATTTTACCAACTCAGATGAACTTTCATGCTAACCCCAGTTTACATTGGTCATGACTGGCCTAACATGCAGCGAGACAATTCACAGACATATACAGTACAATTATACAACACGACAGATAATACAATTACATGTACTTATAAAATGACATACTTCTGTCCCCTTAATGAGTTTCTCCAATATTTCGGCAACCGCCGAGGCGTCGTCCAGGAAAATCAGACACTGGCAGACGTTGATGTAGTCAGGTATGTCCAGGTGCAGGTACAGCCTCACCAGCACCCGCAGCATCTGCAACACATTACACAGCTGTTCGACCACCTGCAATCTCTCCAAGCCACAGTTTTTTTTTGTTTTTTTTTTTACATTCCTATATACTGGAAATCACTTAATATTCACAGTAGCAAAATTTCCTGTTCTGAGAAAAATGGAATGTTCGCTATGATTTATTTGTTCGCGGTAATGATAAATTTGCAGTACAGAAGTGACCACAAAAACTGCAAATATAAAAAAAAGCTCATGAAGGCATACCTATATATGTATATAATAAAGTGGCACTACATCTGGGAATCCTATGAATGTACATTGTGTACATACCTTGCTTCTGAACTGCCTGTTCTGGATGAGTGACATACAGACTTTAGAGGCATACAGGAGCATCCCAGCAACATCATCCTAGAAAAATTACAGACCATGTATCATTATCCAAAACAAGACTCACAGTTTCAATCAATGGTATGAAAGCCACCTCAATCATCTACAGTTCATACTTTGCTGCTGGACAAAAATTCAACAATTCTAAACAAAAGCAACAATTAAGGATACAACTTACACAAAGCTACTCCCTCTAGATTAACAGACTGCAAAACATTATTACTATTGTAGCAAGTTAGTGTAAACCAGTGTTCTCACCAGGATTTTTTCACAGCATAGGGGGCCAGGTTGCGGGCAAACCCACACATCGAGCGCCGAAGGCGCGAGGGCGAGCGCCGCAGGCGCGAGTAATGTAGGGGGGTCCGGGGGCGGGCATCCTCCCCCGGAAAATTTTGAAATACATAACCCTCTGAAACACCATTTCCTGCATTTTGAGGGTCAAATTTTGAAAAAGTTTTCATCTTTGTTGCAGCTTTTTTTAAAGCTAGGTTCAAATCCAAAATTTATTTCAAAAATGGAGTTACTTGTCTTATGCTTGGTACAGGTCTTGGGCAAAATACTCAGACACTGTATAGACTTAAAAATGCTTCAAAAAGGAAACTACTGGAGTACACTTGTATCATGTTTTAGAATTTGCTCTGATATCTTAACTTTGCAACATCATAATTAGCCCAAGCCTCGGCACAGTTCAAAGGGTTTCTTCTGTCAACACAACATCGGTAGCCAACAAGAGGTTCGTTCTTTGGTATTAAAACACGCAGTGCTTCCCCGTGGCATTGGTAACTTATATTGGTAAAATGGTAGAATTACTTGATAATGAGCTATATTACCGACGAAATCAAGAACATTCTGAGGGAAAACACCGTAAAAACTGGCTTCTGTGCAGCTGTGTCAATTTCTAACATGTGTTGCGTGCGCGCCATCTTGGAAGAGTCTATTCTGTAAACAGGGGGAAAGTTTCTTGGAAATACTTCAAACCCTTGTCAAATGATAAAAAAATACGATATTGTGCAGGAACAATATTGCATACTTATTTATTAATTCTTAGATTTTGAATTTAAAATTGTATTGACAGATGTTGAAAGGTAGACAACAGTAGATTTGAGACATCGTGGTCCCTTGAAATGAACTTGTCCAAAGCATGCCGCTGGCGCTCAGTCCCAGTCCAGTTAGCGCTGTCAGTTTAATTTTTCGGTAAATTTCTCCATGCAAGACGATCCAGCCAAAAAAATTCACAAGTTTGGACAACAATAAAGGATGTATGCTGTTGAGTGGCGTACATAATGGCACCCAGGTTTCTGGAATTAGATCTTTATTTACGCCCGTCAAGCATGAGGGGAGGGCAGCAGGTCGGTACTTCAAGTTCTCACTTCGGCCCTTGTTTATCTCAAAATTTGGGTATTTCTGCTAGTTTTTAGGTGTAATTGATAGGAAATCTCAAAGACTAGGTACTGATGTAAGTGATAATGTTTGTTTCCGAGTATTGAGCTTGAACGTACAGGCAAAACTTAGCGCACCGCTCCCGAGCCGCTCCTGGCGGCCTGATCTGAATCTCACGCCCTGTGTCACGCCCGTCTATCGCCGCCAATTTGTGGGGTTTGATTAATTAACTCACAGCAGGTTGTGAATCACTTCATTGTTACTTGAAACTGCGTTCTATGAGATGTTCATTGTGCCGACAGCAAAGACATTATTTTTATCAAGTTTAAAGCAAGGATTATTGCGATGGTAGCCGAGATCAAAAGGGTAAAAATCAACTGAAAATCCCGCTACGCTGGTCGGAAACACAGCATAGCGGCAAAATTACAGCGTAGCGGAACAAATTCACAGCATAGCGGCCCGCTATGCTCAAAAGGCCTGGCGAGAACACTGTAAACATATATGTGGTTTACTACTATATAGTCAGTTGGCATTACTTACTGATTTCATGATAGCTTCTTCAAACACGTCAATTCTCCTGGTCTCCAGGGCAATGCCAACAGCCTGCAGATTGGGGAAAAATGATTTTCAAACATGAATACAAGAAAACAACAACAAACTAGTAGTTGATAAAGTGACTTACAATATCTTAAGAAACTAAAATGAAACAATTTCTGTAAACTATGAACTTATTCCTGACCTGTTTGAAGTTGCCGTTCTCCAGACAGCTCCTGATCTTCCTGTTGACCACATCCTCCAGACGGGAGTCCAACTTTACGTCCTGTTTCTCCCCTCCCTCCGCCTGGGCCACGCACAGCTTCGTGTAGTGGTCAATACATTTGGCTGTGGTTGAGACACACAGTTCATGTTACAGAAGAATGTCCAACAAGAATTATCTGGACTGACGGTAAATCTTTTATTGTACTGTACATTTGGCTGTGGTTGAAACATGCAGGACGTGTCAGTTACTTCACAGAGGAACGTCCTACAAGAAAATTCTTGACTGATGTGCAAATCTGGTATTTTACCATTCTGTACATTTGGCTGTTGTCAAAACACACAGAACATGTCATTTACTTCACAGAGGAACGTCCTACAACTTACAAGAAAAATCTGGACTGGCAGTGAATCTTGTATTTTACTGTACTTCCCAGAAGGGAAAAGGAGGTTTTTATGGTGTGGACGTGTACTCACATATTGTAGTTTCTACGTATTCTGTTGTGCTGTTCACATCAAACAGGTTCCCTGCTCCGAGTGCATAAGTCAGTGAGATCTCGTAGGCTCCCAAGTGATAGTACACCTGAAAAAAAACATTGTACATGTACATTAATAGAAGTGGAGAAGTTCTATTTTATGGCAGTTAAAATAGTCAATGTTCTTGTTTTACTAAAATTTCAGCACCTTCTTACCTTTGAAGTAACCAAGGCTGACAGTTCTCGGTAAGGGAAACTTTCATCTTCATACAGCATTTCACTGGATGGGGAAAAACAACATGATCAAATTCACACCAATCATACCACTATATTATAAACTAAATGTAGATTATCTTTAACCAAAAACATCACATTCACAATATGGAAATGATGAACATAAACATATAGATTGCAACTTTACTTACATTTTGTCCACAGCATCTGAAATCTCTGGCCAGAAGTCTCCCACAATGGCGTTCAGCTTGTTTAAAGCAAAACACTGGAAAAAAAACATGAATGCATGTACTTGTAAATTATTTAGCACTATGCTTATATGAGTTTCCGAAAGTTTTACTTTGACTTCTGCTATGGATCTGTCATTTGGCTTCTTCTATAACTTATAGTATAAGGAATAATCTTATTTTATTTTGATGGAGTTAGGAAAGAAAAAATGTCTAGGGAAAATTTTAAAGAAAATTACCTTCAGTTGTGGGTCCTTCTCATCTAACATCGCAAGGACACCGGCTGGGAAAGACAGAATACATGATTTGTTAGTTAATAAAAAAACTTACAGTACACATTTTGCACATGATTTTTTTTCATATCATATCCAAAAATATTTTTTAAACCACACAAATACGACATGAATTATGAATGATTGAAATAGAAGTTCAAATAGTTGTAATTCCTTGATTTATGTTACACGTAAATGCCGTTACGTACTAAGATAGAAAAATATTCCTTTTGTGCAGTTTTACAAAACAAGAATTTTCTACGACTTGCTACACGTTTTTATCAAAATCACGCCTATCATCTAACTGTTGCTCACTGAGTAGTTTTCCCTCTTTGGCAGAATATTCATCTAATATAAGATGAAATTTTCATCTTCCTTATTTGCCTGCTACAGAAATTGACAGCGCTCTACTTTAATTTGTATATTTTTATGTGTTGTATACGAAATTTTCAAACATCATGATGTGGGAGGGGGGCAAGTGACTCAGCAGCTGAGCACACAACTTCGACGCCTTTTAACAAAAATACGCCGTTTTTCCCCCTAGAAAAGGTCCTTGATAATAATCCTTGTATAGTTTCCTATAAATCTACAACAGAAATGATTACCTGCTGATGTTAGATTCATGTTGAGGCGTAGAAAGATCCCGGTCTTTGTAGGTAAATTTTGTTCAGCGCGCACCACACCGAACACGTCAGGTTCTGTTTCCGGGTTGGGCTGAGTTCGTATCCGGGTCACGGGATGTTGCTGTATGGTAATAGCAGCGACCTCTATCCACTTTGCCTGTACTGCATGAATTGCTCGACTGTACTGCATGAAACGTTTCCAAACTGTTTGGATTTGGTTTCCGAACTAGATTTGGTTCCATTGCTTTGTCTACATAAAAGCATTGAAGAATGAAATACCATATACGCATAAATATACGAAGAAATCAAAGATCATATAAGCATTGAAAGACTAGTCTTTACTTCTGTATACATGTATTTATTTGTCGTTCATTCGTTCACAAACACACTTAACGTTGGTTAGTTAGTAACACTGACCAATGGATAGATTGCTGCATGACAGCAGTATATGGCAACACACTTCTCAAAACAAAACAAAGCGTCAATAATAATCGTCAATAGTATACATCTTGCAATTGGATTACAACTCTATGTCGATCTGTAAGAAAAAAAAAGATAAAGTATACTGGTCCTTATTTAGTGCAAAGGACACGATTTAAACTGCATTTTTCCAATCAAGAAGATATATATATATGATATATATGGCATGGGTGAAATAATCATGGCTTGATATCACAAAAACGCTACGTATACATCACGCATGGGAGTGACAAAGTCTCTACACCTGCGCACAATTTTATTGGCTATTATACACCCTACTGAACGTAGGCACTCCGTCGCTTGACTAATTTACTTATACTAGTATATACGTAGCTCCGCTAGGCACTTTAGTAGGCTGATACTGACAAGTAAACACTTCACCTTCTTTACATATACTAGTATTGATATGGCTCTTTTCAAACTTTGAATTTCTCTCCCATGCACCATATGAACTTTAATTGTATGCCACACATGACACGTTATCATTTTTTTCTTTCCTTCTGATTTATTTCAGAAGGAAACCAGAGAAGGTGCAGTATTTGTCGTAATCATTAGAATAGATGTAATCATTCTTTCTCAGCACCACAGACACAGTGTCCCCAACTGCAAGCTCGAGGATCAGGCTGTTACCAGACATGTCGGCACTGTAGTGTGACTCTTCATCCATTTTAGAGTTATTTTCAAAAATGGCCGTTTGAATAGTGTTATTCACCACCAAGTAAACTGCCATTTGGGGCACTTCAATAGCTTTGTACATGAAGTATGTAAACATATAGGCGCCTGCTGTGTTGCAGGTGAAGATACCATCGTCGGGGTTGTAAGAGTTGCCGATGTTGACATACACGTGGTCAAAGATTACCCGTGTATGCCCGGTCACAGGTCCAAGAGGCGTTGTTCTGGATGCAGAGAAGGCTACAGCCGGGCCTGTTGTTGTGGTTGTTGCTGTATCTGTGAAAATATATGCAAAATTTAATACACTGAAAATTTAGATCCATGACTGAAAAAGTTTAAAGAAGTGGAGTCGACTATTCAATCGCCACGAGCATTTACATTGAACATTATGTATTTGTCAATCATTGTTATTTCTGAACTAAAATCACTGCACGCGTACGAATAGTTGGATTTACCATTTATAGTAATCATAAATGCCAGTGACGTTGGGTGATGTTTGCTTTATAAAGAGTACCGGATGGAATTTACAACGGTAGTAAAAAAAGTCGACTAGCTAGTCAGGTACATTGTAATTTCGAATGTAAATGACTTGACAATTATTTACTACTATTGTAAACTCCGGTAAGCTTGCAAAATCAACACTACTACATTTTATACGACCATTGGTAAATATTTTCGTGCGCATGAATCAAAGAATGATGTAATCATTCTTACGATTGCCAAGTCTACGTACTATCATAATAATTTCTATTAATGGATACAAACTCCTTTGGGAGTTTTTATAAAGTAGTGCTACATATGTACCTACCAGTATCACTTTGGTGACTAAATTAGAAAATAATTTCTTACCAGCCTCCAGATGAGATAGCCTGGACTCGCACTGGCTGATGGAATCACTCTGCTGTTCCACGAGGGTCCTCAGATCGTCTAAGTCCCGACTTTGCTGACGGACGAGGGTCTTCAGTTCGTCGATGGTTTGATTTTGCTGCTGAATGGTCAGTTCGAGGATAGTAGCCCTCTGTGTTTGAAAGATCGACGCATAAATACAGACGTCAAAAAAGGGAAACAGGAACAGTGAATTTTCTGACCGAAGTTTTGACATGGTTTTAAATAGAGCAAATAGAAACAAAATATTCGCATTGTTGTTGCCATTGGCTCGCGTACAATACAAGGTCAGTAGCCATTGGTAATATACTGAAGTTACTGTAATTTCGAAGCGGTCAATTCTACATGCGAACGATCTATATATGCCGCAGTTGTTTCGCCTTTTTACCAACCTTATTTACTTTGTTCACCAAACTTCAGTAAATCGTAGCCCTGCATGTATGTACACTAATGTGCAATTTTTGTAGCAAAAGTTGATGATAAGTCAGAAGAACATATTGTGGCCTGTGATTCTTCGCAATATGTACATGTACATGCATATAACGTAAGGAGTACACTAAGTAGTAACGCTACACCTTGACCTTGCATATTTACCTGTTCACCTTGCAGTACCAGTAACTCAATCTCATTGCGTGTTGTTTCCATGGCTTGCGTGACGTTGGCCAGGTCTCTCGCCATTTCCTCGTCACGCGTCTTGCCTTCTGCCTGATCTCCTGCCACTTTTGCCAGCCCTGTGCTTGTGTTGTTGACGTCCCAGGCCAAGTTTTGTACTTGTTCCGAGAGATCGTCCAGGCTTGAAGACAGGTGCTTCATGCGCTGTTTTTCCAGGGTTCTGTCCCTCTCAATGTCCTGAAATACGTCATTTGTCGCCGTTAAGGAACTTTTCATGTCCACTTCAGTGTGCACTGTTCTGTAAAGCATCTGTATATACATAAATAGACTTGAACAGAAAAGAAACTTCCTCGCGCAATTTAAGCTGGTTCCTAAGTGGGGTAACTGAAAATTTAATCTTGAAAAGTTTGTACCATGTGTTATAAGAATCCGTTCTTACCTGCAATCTTGTTGAAACGTTTGCTGGCACCAAGCAGACTCCATCGCTGTTTTGTACCGACAACAAGAAGGAATATTCGCAGAACCCAGTCTGTACGTACTTCTGGTGGTACACGGGCCATTGATAGTTAGGCAGAACGTTCTGACCATGGCCTCCAGCGGCTAGAAAAACGCAGCTGAAAAAGAGGAGAAACTGCATGACGCATGACAGTGGACGCTCGTCAACTTGTCAAGCACACGGTGTGGCTCTTAAGACTTTCTTAAGGTTGACGTTGGAAATCCCCACAAAATTTCGAGGAAGTACTAGTATTTCAAGTTTCTATACGTGGAAAGTAATTTGCATGACAGTACCACGTGACATATGATGCGGGTAATGTATATTTGTAGCACTGTAAATTTTTGGCATCTTTCCAGTAGAGTAGTGAATGCACTGGCTTGGGTCTCGCATGCTGAGACATTGCAAATCTCCGCTTGGTCTTGCGTAACGTGCTGAAAGTTTCATGTTCAAGGAGAGCCCTGACACTTAGCTAGAGAGATCAGGGCCTTGGTACACCAGGATCTCCTTATAACCTTCTTGGTATTACCAACCTCCTTGGTATTACTAAAGCAAATCAATCAGTTCTTACTCAATATACATGTAACGTTACTTACGTATACCGCGGTATGTTGCGAGTGGCATTATATCCCGTTGATGATGGTTTGATAATGCGCAAAAAACAGCCCTGTGCAAAAACCAAACAGGTTCAATACTTAAGAACCAGGGAACAATGAAATCATGATATCAACTATTTATTATAATTTTAATTATTTGGGGTTGATTTTTAGTTTCTCTTTTTTTTCTCCATTGAGGGTATTAACCTTGGAGTCACCCCCCGCAAAATGTATGTACGAGCCACTTTTTTTTAGGAATGTCTGAGTCAGTGATTATGTGCGTAACTGTTGATGTCGATGTAACTTTGTTGCAGATCTTGAGTTTTATGGATGACAATATACGGAACCGGGATGTCGGATGATTTTCAGTAGCAAGTTTTTTCTTTTTTCTAATTCTTGATTTTTTTAATACTTGTGATACCAGTAAAAGCAAAAGACACCAACTGGTGCTACTCATCACGGCAACCTCTTGACAAGCGATGAATGATTCAGTCAAGATCGAATATTTGGATAGAGAGGTCTCATCCGTCATCGCAATTTCTGATTCTAGTGAAGTTCAAAATAACTTTTTCTAGTCTTTGCTTGTACCAGATGGCATCATTAATCATGACTATCCTCTCAAACATGTCAAAAATGTGTAATTATCATCAGCTATTATCTTCTTGCGCGCTTCAGTCTATCAGTCATCCGGTACTTTCCACTTGTAAAAATGTGACTGCTACGTCATCCGTCTGTGATTGGCTATACCACTTCCACTACCACTGGATGCGGAGGGAGATAACACTCTGGTTACAAATATAGCCACAGTTCTATTGCAAATAAATGGTCTAAAATGTATGATATCATAATATATCTTGGATATAAAATCATAACAGAATGATCGATGCGAGAAATAGACCAACCTCCCCCAAAGTACTCAGTCTGATGGTTGCATCCAGCGCGGGTAAGCACCATATTTAGGACACGCCAGTCATGGCAGCTTGCCAGAAGACAAAGTCCAGTTAGCCAATCAGCGCGTGTTGTTCACGTGAACTGGGCCTGGTAGAGGGTGATCAGCGCCGTGTGTTCACGTGCTCATGTTGCTGCTGTCAGAAACACCCGCCTTCGTGCTTATTTCCATATCGTGTGCCAGCGCTAGGATCCCACATATTCAGACGACATAAAATCTTCAACATTTTTACCCAATTCCCACCGGCGAATCCTTTCCAGTCTAAGATATCTTGCGTGATACAAGTGAAGGAAGATATTCTGAGGGAAAAATCCGCTATTCTGTGGGAAATATCTTTAGTTTTGCGACAGAGAAGGTGAGACTCTTCGAATCTTTACCGGTCACTCGACTTTTACGGTTATAGCAGATGGTATTTTGGGATTTAAAGTTGGTGTTAGTACACGCGATTTTAATCCACAAAAAATCTCAGAGGATCATTTCTAGTAGCCTTGGTTAAGGTAGTGTTACCTTTGGTGTCATTTCATGGTGTAGAAATGGATTTTTTTCATCCTTCGTGAACATACGGCAAAACGTGAGCACGTGATTGTTTGGAGTGCCAACGATATGTCTGGTATCAGCGACCTCAAATACCACTTTTCTGGTCAAATCAGTTCTGATACGTGTTCCTCTAATCGTTATGACGTTAACAACATCCTACAGTGTTGAGTTTCTTCATTTTTATGATCATAAACGGTGGGTATTTCGGAGATTTAAATGTACCGTATGGTGTGTAACTCGACCGTTTGTCGGGGGGCAGTTTGTAGGTGTGGCTGGGGGAGGCGAATTAATTTGCATTTATTTGGTTTTTGTCACCTTCAGTAAGGCTTCACTTCTCGTACTGCATGTATATTAACTCATCTTTTTCAAGACACAGTTTCCTTCACAGTGTATGGGTTTTCAAAAGTATTTTTCCAGAAAACGTGTGTTTTCATTTTTTTGATACTTCAAAATATGTTTTTTTTAATTAGTCAATTTTTTTATAACGTGAAGGCCACTACCATGTGTAAGAAGTCTATCTCGTAAAAATACGGATTCTGTAGTTGATATTTATGTTTAGACAACTGCAGGAAAGCTCAAAACGTTCGGCTTGCGTTATGTCTACAGTCTAGACACCCAACAGCATAAATTTGGAAAGGCCATTTCACCCCAGAGTAATTACGGCAATGCTATGATTTATTTTATGCGGAACTCATGTGTATCTGTTCTCAGTTCCCTTCAAGTTAATAAGTCATTTGTTTTGATTGGAAAAATGATTCACAGAGATTAACTGAATTTATTCCACTTTTATGGTGGTGGCAGTTGTCTTAGAAAATTTTCCATTCCATGTTTTTCTTGTCACAGTGCACAGTGCACTTTACCAGATACCAGATCTCACATGATCTCTTGGCCCTTTGCCTGCACGCCCTGGAGTAGATTCTAGATGTGATTTGCAGTGCTGATCTCAGTCAGCAAAATCCCAGCTGTCTAGACTTGGACGGTCAGCCTGACCTCAACCTGGCATCCCCTTCCTTTGGGGCACTGACCATCAGTGACTCTGCTTTATTTTTGGCAAGTCAGGCAAAGGTCGATACGAATTTGAAACTCTGGCTATGTTCGTAGCTATGTGAACCCAGACCCAGAAGTATTTCCTGTCTGAACCACAACGTCTGAACCCCAAATCAACTGGGCAGTTTTATCACAAACACTCAAGTACTAGTAAGTTTCACTTAGCATTTTCTCCTGGGTTATCAGAGAGGCAAGATGCATTGTATACAACAGTGATACCCTGTCAGCAAGTCCAGCAATAGTGTTGTGCCAAATTTGATAACAGTACTATGGTGCTCTGATAGTATGGGTGCAAGTGCACCTGACACCCTACTACATTAGGACATGGCCTACGTGGACGATACAGCATGTGAACAGTAAGGTTACCAGAAGATTTTGCCCTTGTTGATATTAATAGCTATCAGTATTATATATATATGTCACATATATATTACAGAAGAAAATCAGTGGCAGAGAGGCAGTGGTGATATAGAACAACCGGCATTTCTGGAGAAAGAGGTGCACAGGAAGGGAATGTCACAACTACAACCCCTGAATTGGAGGCCTTTCATCCTTGGAGGACTTGCATCATGTACAGCAGAGTTTGGTAAGACATTCAATTCATACTTTCTTACGCAGTCAGGGACAAACCAGAAACAGCCATGTTGGTGCGGGCATTTTTTAAAGGCAAAAGTTTCATTCTCTCCTATTATGCTGTTACAGTTACATTTCTGTCAACTTTTTGTATGAATCAATAACTATGAATGTGTTTCTTGTACCGACTAACTTTCAATTTTTCCTTCTCTGCATTGCCATCACAATCTATGCTTTGTCAGGAAGCATTTGTAGACAATGCCTTGACATTTTGGACCTTTGCTGTACACAAGTAATCCACCAGCCATTCACTGATGAACAAAGAAACATTGAGAAACCTGCCTGATTTAGAACCCCAATGCTGGTGTTTGTTTACAGCCCATGTTGAAAAGACCTGGGCCTTTTCAAACAGGCAGGGGGAATGCCAGACTCTGTTTCTTATGGGGGGTCACGTTTCTTGGACCAGTTCCAAATGGAAAGGTGCCAAGGGATACAAGGCCACAACTGGAGAGTAGACAACAGCTCTCTGAAGAAATTGTATGCAAGACCAGATGGGAAAGATTAAAGTGCTCTTATAAGTTATTCATATAGAAATAAAAAAGTCTATTTTAGTGGTGTCTGACCTATGCAAACAATCATGGTGACATTGATTGATGGAGCATATGCCTTGCAAATGACCCAGGCAAATGACCAGTGCATGTAAGGTGCATGGCAGGTTTTGGGGGTATGGGACATACCACAGTTGAGGGGCATTGTGTCATGTCCTTGTAAAGAGATGTCATGTGATGTCATTTCTTATGCTAATCAACAATCATGCTTGTCACCTCTTCTTCGTTTAAGTAATTATGATACCAGCAAACAGACCACTTTGAGGAATGTTACATTTATGAATGGAGCTTGTTTTTTTATTTTTTTTCAGGGACCTTTCCTATAGACACCACCAAGACAAGGCTACAAGTCCAAGGCCAGATTGCCATTGAAGATGCCAAGTTCAAACAAGTCAAGTACAGGGGCATGCTCCATGCCTTCATCAAAATTACACAAGAGGAAGGGCTCAAGGCACTGTACTCTGGGTGAGTTGTCATGTGATGTTGTTAAGTAATTAATATAAATAAGCCCTAACGGTCACATTATACAAAAGACTGCAAACATGATTGAGTCACGTGAACTGTACTTTGGACTATGGTAGCAAAGTTTATCACATGCTAAAGTGTCACGTGTGTATTAGTAACAGGTAACGTATTTGGTCAAACTCAAAAGTCCTCAGCAATTGAAAGACCATTTGACGTGGCAGTTTGTTGAATGTTCTAAAGGACATTGGCATGTTGATGTTTTGACTCGGACAATAGGGTCCAAAGTCTACTGTTGGCAGTTGTGTGGGGATGTACGATTACAGCAAAGGGGAGGTTAGCCCAACAACAATTCAACCGTGTGTGTTTAGTCCAGAAATACTAACTTGGAATAAGGTGCTTGTAATATTATTGGCAGGAAAGGGTCAGTTGACTTCTCGTAGCCATCATAAATGGTAATGTTTGCACAATGATTCATACTCAGAAATAATTTGTCTGGCATGTACTCCCACAATGAATAGAATGCTTGGAGTTTGTGGCATTAAGCTAATTTAGCTGTGTGACACGTCGACAATTTTGAAAGGATTGTACTGGAAAGGAGGACATTGTACTCTGAATGATGCAATCATTGGAAGGCTAGTCTAAAGACTGTATTCAAATACAGATCAATATTTGGACAAACTGGAGTAAGTTGCAAGTTCCAAAAATCAAACTGGCTTGTGGATTACCTGAAGTGCACTTCATTATTGCTTATCATTAACTATTCAACATTTTTTGCTTAGCATTGCCCCAGCTATCCTGAGACAGGCTTCCTATGGGACCATTAAGATAGGGACATACTACTCTCTGAAGAGAGCTTTCACCGATAATCCTGAAGGTGAGACCTCTTATAATGTTCTTACTAAGCTTGAAATGTAAGATGTAGAGATGTATTTGTAAGGTGAGGTTCTTGTGGAGGTGAGGTACTTGTGGATTAAGGCAGATTTCTGTAGATATGTAGGTATGTTAAAGACCCACCCACCCCTTAAAGTATTGGTAGAATCAACATATTTAGGAGTCATGTTGTTACTTTGACCTTGGTTGTCTCACGAACTGGAAAGAATTTCACCACTCTAGCACATGAGGGAAAAAAGTTTGATTGACTGTGTTTTCATTCTTTTGTCACCTCACAAACTTGTTGGAAATGACTACTTTGAATTGTTGACCTGAATCAATAGATACAAGAAAAGTTGAAGATAACCAAGTTCAAAGTGTGTAGGGCTGAGGTCAGTTTGTAATTAGGTTGGTTATGCCGTTTTCCAGCCACAAAATTCCATGAGGGTCCAAGGGATTTAGCAACAGTTGATGTTAAACCAGAATTTGCATTGGACGTTAAGAAACCAAGTAAGAGCTGTGTTTCACCAGCTATTCATAACTGTAGCATACACATCCTTTGGCCAAAGTAGTGCAGCAACAGATCTGAACAACTATGATAATTTGAATGTTTATTACAATATGCCCATTGAAGTTGACCAGATTGATGCAGTGTTTGGAAATGAACACTGGTAAAAATGAATACTGCTGAGGCGTCAAAAGGTGGTGTATGCTGCTTGTGTTGTTGAGTTTTTATGTTTTCAAAATTAGTTTGTTAGTTAGCTGTTTTTGCTAATAATGTTTTGAAACATGTATATGTGCTAGTACATATGTTGCTGTCCTTTTGAATTGGTACCAGAGAATCTTGAAAAACAAAGATTCCAGACCTGGAAATCTAATTTCAAGGCTTAGTTGTAAATTAAAGCTAAGAGAAGTACTTGAAACCTATTCTCATAGTGTGCTGTATCTGTCACTGCCAGATGCCAACAATAACAGCACTTGCGAAAGAAAAAAGAGGCCCAAAATGTTAGATGTTTTGGAACCTTGGTTCAATCAATCAATGCGGTAAAGACTAAAAAGGACAGCAACACGTACATGCACTATCTTCTAGACTATTAAATATCAAAGAGTCTTGGGTTAGATTTTTAGCTGCAATTTATAGATGCGATAACATGATTAACTTTGATATTGGCAAAAATATCAGGTTTTGCTCGTCATTGGATTTTTATGTTCGGAAAAGATTAAGGCCTCGGATATTCTCTCCAAGAAGAGAGAACAAAAGCTCTGCCAATATTACAGTTAAACAAGTTAGTCCCCTTTTTTGACCACCACATTTGTGGAAAGGTTACCTTTGGTGGGAATGCCATATGCATGTGAAAAAGAGAATTTTTGGATAGCAATATGTCTGCCTATGGCACAGGATAAGGTTCGCACACATGGCGGAGCAGCAGGCGCCGCGTGTGGACCGGTGCTCACTCGCCCGGCGCGGCATCAGACGCTGGGGACCCTCGATAAGGTTACTGTATTGTGCATGCGATGTGCACCGTCACCTTCTAGCTCCTTCTCTTCTATTTCTTGCTTTTCTTCACTCTCGTCATACCTTACAAAGTCTTCATGATATAAATGTTGAGTTGAACCTGCCAGATCCAAGGGTAGTTTGCATGCTCAAAGCATACTATTTGTCATAATTAACTAAATCAGGACAAAAATTCAACATTGTTGAGATAGGGAATCATTTTCTTTTGTTATGATTGTAACTGTCACTGAAAATAGTCATAAAATGTAACTCTGTATATGTATGTAGATACAACTGTCAGTAATAGTAGTAGTAACAGCATTAAGATAGATGTGTATCCAGTATTGTAATTTTAACCATTTCGCTACAATGTACTCCAGAAAAGCTTACTTATGTTCACTCAGAGGGTTGGTATTCAGAGAGCACAGATGTGGGGGAATCAGTTAACTCCAGGATGTTTTTGCTATGAGTCATATGATATTATCTGTTTCCTGTAAAAGTGTAAAATCTGTTGTTAAATAACTGCTTTTTGGATGCTGGCAGGTAAACATAAATCAGCAATTCTACCTTCCTTAATTTCTTCCCTAGCTTTTCTTTTGGTGTTGAATTTGTGATTGTTGGGGGGATATGCTCCAGTAGATCTTGCATCTAGTGTGCCAGTATTGTTTCTGTGTAGTTCAACCTGTTGTTTTTGTGTTACAGAAAAAGAGAGCCTGGCAGTGAACCTTTTCTGTGGAATGGCTGCTGGTGTCATCAGTTCTTCAATTGCAAACCCCACTGATGTACTCAAGGTAGGTGCCCGCTAGTCTTCAGCACGCACTATTCACTGCAGTTATTCTTGGTTCTCCAAGTTTCAGATCCTTTAGCTTGTATGTTTGAATAGGTTGTCATGGTTAGAAGTCTGCTTATTGCACAAGTGCATTAGTAAGCACCAGTTCCTGGTGACAAGAGCTGTTAATGGGCACTCCTGGATATCTGATACTCCTCCAGGTTACAAAGGTACCATTGAGTTGATGATCAGTCAAAGAGCATGTAGTCTAGTTCACATTACCAAACATGTAGTAGTAGGCTATTGTATGTGTTCACAGGATTGTGATTTAGTACAAAATGTACACAGTGTACGTATTGTTTGTTTTTAAATTTCAAATGTGTCAGTTCTGAATCCCAAGTTTTCTTCCCCTATTATAAACCCTTATATTAAGTTCTTGTTTCCAAAGTGTTCGTAGCAAGCAAGGTGCCTATGTTGTATATTACAGGTAGTAACATGTGACTATTACATGTATTTATGTAATGTGTAGATAGCAAAAAACAGTTCTTTCATGTCTTTATGTCATACATGTAACTAAACTTCTACATTCCAGGTGAGGATGCAGGCTCAGGGATTGGCCTGTATGGGCAATGGCAGTATGATGGGAGCTTTCATGACTATAGCACAGCAGGAGGGAACAAGAGGGCTGTGGAGGGTGAGTGGGCTCTGTCAGCTGTGTTAGTCACTACTGTGCATTTGGAGTTGACATCGATAGATTTGAGAAGAAAAGAGTCAGATCTGTATATGATGGCGCAAGAATGTTAAATCTTCTATAGACCAGAACTCATTAAAGGAAACCTAAAACATGATAAAAATCAATTCTATGAGGTTTAGTTTGTGTGACACAAAAGTAAATGTTCTTGACTAAACATCAGAAAATGTTCTTGTTCCTACCAGGGTGTCGGGCCTACAGCACAGAGAGCAGCAGTTGTTGCAGGAGTCTTGCTGTCTGTTTATGACTGGAGCAAGAGCAAAGTGTTGGAGTCCAAACTGTTGGAAGACACTGTGTTCACACATTTCATGTAAGTATAAGCATAAATCCATTTTCCTCTTTCTTTGTTGACAAGAATATCTACTACCGTAACAGTAGAAGCAGGATTTTGAAGGATGTTGTACAATGAAAAGTAGATAAAATGAACATTTACCGATGTAACTAAAACTGATTTTTTTTCTTGTTGTTTCTCCAGATGTAGTTTTGTTGCTGGTTTGGCTGGGACAGTGGCTTCAAACCCGATTGATGTAGTGAAGACCCGAATGATGAACCAGAGAGCCCTGAAAAATAATCAAAATGCTTCTACAATCTACAAAAACTCCTGCGACTGCCTTATCAAGGTAACAATGTCCAATATTTGTTGAATTCAAATTTAATGTTTTGTCATACATGGTAGTACAGTACACTTACCTTATAGTTGCTTCTTTGGACGTTTGGAAAATTCAGTGTTAATTCAAAACATGTTAGTTGGATTTATTGTAACATTCTGGATTTTTTTCCTTTTCAGACTGCAAGACACGAAGGAGTAAAGTCATTGTACAGAGGTTTCGTCCCCAACTGGTTGAGACTCGGCCCATGGAACATTATTGTATCCTTTTTCACAAATTCTATGTATCTATCTTATCCGTTTTTCTGCTTTTCTCTGTTTGTATATGATACAATTGATGACAAGATCAAGGTCCCATAGATATCGTATTAACTTCTTTTCCTGGTTTGACAGCAAATGTCCTTAACTCCTTTTTATCAGTTCTTCATCACATACGAGCAGCTCAAGAGACTCAACATTTAAGCAGGCCTTCGTCACCAAGACGCAGGCGTACTTGTACCTACAGACGAGGCAATGTCACTGTACAGACAGCAATATACAATGCAAGACTCTGCTACTTAGCTAATAAGGCAAATCTTTCTTCAATTCGAAGAGTTGAGTTCAGCACAAAACTCTGGTGGCCGAACCTTGAAATAAAATAAAACCAAGCTATTCAAATTTGGAAGCATCTACAACAATTAAATATCACAAGGCAAAAACAGTTACATCAATTTATCAAAGAATTAGTATTCTTTTGGACATAGCATTCATCAAGGTATAGTGCTGGACTTGATTCTTGGTACAAAAAAAGTTGGATTTGTTCAAAGTTCCTCATGTTAATGTTTTGACATTTTTTTAATGCAAAGATAAAATACTTGTACCACTTTAATCTTATCCCTGCTGCCTAACCCCGTAACCATTAAAAACTTGGTGCTTAAAGGCTACTTGAGCAAGGAGAAGGTTAACATGAGATCTGCTAAGAGAAGTTGTTCTTTTGGAAATGGCAGTTGTGCCCAGCTGTCCTATGGTAAAACACAAAAAAAAGTTATTTTTATATGTTTTGACATGTTTGTAGAGGTAGATTCGTCAGAAAGTACACAGGATCAAAAAAGGATTTTGCCATTATAGCAGGCAGTAACGTAGGGGTAGCTTCACACCACAAAAGATTCTAGTTTGCTTCCACGGCAAATTTTTAAAAACTGTCGACAACATTTTGCCAGGATACAGTTGCGTAATTTGGAAGTTTTGACTTTCCTATAGATTCACCTAAAGTCTTGATCAAAACTTATGGATATTTATATGTTAATTTAGCTACTACATGAAAGCTTTTTATATTGTGCTATGTAGATCATGTTTTTGTTATCTTAAAACGTGCAAGATGTCCATATTTGATAAAATGTAAATTTAATATTGAAGTGACAAAAAGTATACTAAACAATATTTTACTTTTTTCTGTAATCTTAAATTTTGACCTCTGTCATCCTAGATGTTTTGGTCATTTAAGAAAAAGGTGTGCAATTACTCGAAAAAGTATGTATATTCAAAAAAAGTACTGTGTATATATGTGAGCCTGTATCTTTTTTTACAGTATTATGTGCATGTACATCTATATTACAGCTGTCAAATATGTATTTATCCTAAATTATGTTGACACTCGATGTGTGCAAATGGGGAAAACAATATAGTGACAAATAATATAGAATTTCAGGTTGCTCCTTTGTCGTAGAATGTTTTTGCTGTAGAGGTACAAAAAGAGAAAGCCATGTGAAGGGAATGTTTTTGGTGATGTTTGAGGCGGGATTTTCTGTTGCTGTGTTTGGCTATGTCAGGTTTTCAACTGATAGTTCTCCCTTTGAAACGTAATCCTTTGATAATAGCCCAGATCAAAAATGTTCAGGGCTTCTATCATTCGTTACTTGGTTTTCTAGGAAGTTAACATGTTGAAGGTTAGAATATTAAATGGAAATGACATAGTCAGATATTCAACAGGTGACTTGATTATTAGAAACTTGATGTTGTACAAGTTGGGTTGCTGTTTTGCTGAAGTGTACTGGAAAAAAAGTGAAGAAGAAAAGGAGTGTTGAAATGGCAAAAGCAAAAAAGAAGGTTCATTGTCTTTTGTATGATTACATGTAAAGCTGTATTGTTTTGAAATGTTACAACAGACTATATATCTATCAATCAATGGTTATATGCATGTACTGTATACTCTCCAGGGATTCCTTATTTCGTATGAATGTAAATAGCTGTTAATATGTACGTATACTACATGTAAAGATGTTAGTTGTGTTGCTTCTATTCCTCATTTTCCTAATTTCCTACAGTACTTGAAGTAACTTTACTTGGTGGCCCAGTGTATATTATTTCCCCCACACACAATAATCCTGTCCTTGCAATTTTGTCAGGTATCCTTATGATGATTCTTCAGCATTGTCACTTGTTGCATATCTTGAGATCAGTTATGTTGGCCAGTATGAAATGGATAGCACTATAACACAATGCCTGGAGTTTTCTGTACCACACATAAGCAGCAATAAATACGGCAACCTTTGCTTACCTTTGGAATATCTTGTCCTGTCGTCGTTTGAACCAGGTACCATAGGGCTTATTCACCACAGATTGTCACGTGACTCTCCCCCTGGCGTCCGCCATTTTGGGGCTATCGCTATGCATTATGCTATGCAAACTCTTGGCGATAGTTGTGTATTTTGGGCCACAACACAACACTCTACACATCCTGATACAACGCTTCCAGACTCTTAGAGGGTTTGAACCGATGTTGTGTGTAAAAACTTCGGCCCAGTACCAAATACGAAGCTAAGTCGCGTCAATGGACTCCGCTGGCGGTAGACGCCGTCTCGATCAGACTGATCAAAACTCAACAAAAACGGGTCAATCCCAACAGATTTTATTTTGTTCCAGTAACGAGAGGTATGAGTGGTGGTAAACTCTTCGTGTAATAGGACAAAGGACAGTTTACCTAACGTTTGTCGGCCATTTCAATGCTTGGAAACTCGCTGTAGGCGCTGTAGCCCCAAAATGGCGTCGCACGGGACGCCATTTTGGGGCTACAGCGAGCAACGGTCGAAGCTGGTCATATAAACTCAATACAACTAG